CTTTATTCTTATTGTATTAGCACACTCTTTGCTATGGACCATTTAATATTAATGACCTATTCACACACACTCGGAATCTTAGTGAACATAAAATTATGTGTGCGTGGCCTAAATTTAAATAAACGCTTTAAGGTGTGTTTATATTTATATTTATATAAAAACGTAAAGATTAACTTTTATTATGCGTTTAATATACAGTCAGTATACGTATAGGTTAATCCATTCATTAACTGATGCAAGTTTATTATTATGAATGAAATAACGCTTTCATATTATTAAATAAACATTTCATTACTAATTTCTATTAGGTTATTAATGGATAAATGATTTTATAGATCTATTTATTTCTAGATTAAGTTAAATATAGAAAATAACGCCATGGAAATAATACTGAATTGACGCACGTGTAAACACAACACACGTAGTACAATTTTCTATTGACCATAGACAAGAATGATCTCATTTTTTTTGTCACAGTTATTCCAAAACCATGACCTTTTACAGAATGTAATTTTTAGCATGTAATATTTAAAAATGAATAATATAATCAATTGATTGATCGTTTCTTTAAATATTTCCGATATTTTAATATAGATAACATTGTTTCTTTGTGTTCGTGTAAATCAGAGACGAAATCTCTTAGCATTCAATGTATTCATATGCGTGTGCCGGGTCCATCGTTGTAGTGAGAGGAGCTTCAACAGTGACTGGGACTTGCGACCCAGGTGTAGGTTTGATATATAATTGTGCATTATGTAACAAGTCATGTAAGATACTTTATGACATAAAGACAGTTAATAATTTGAGTATTGTTAATTTTAACTATGGTTTAGTATTTAGGTTACGCTTCTATGAATGTCCACGCATGAATGCTCATTAATTCTTAGCTATTATACTTCAAGTATTTTCAGTCTGAAATCAAAGTTAAAATGTCTAATACAAATAATGTTTATTACGAAAACCAAATCAAAAACGAATTATTTACCATTCATGTTGAAATGTTTTCAGTAACTAATACTTACACTTGTATACACGAACTAAAACGGCGTTGTTCTTTTCGATATAATTTTTTGCTACTAAAATAAGGTCTATCAAAACTTTAGTACGTCATTTTGATATAATTTTAAATAAAATTATAAAAATATTTCCTGTAAGCTTTATATATATATATATATAAATATGTAGGTATTTTTATGTAAAATAGCATAAAACAGAGCACATTCCCACTAGTTTATTCTTTAACTGACCCGTGACGGAAGTATTTTATTTTGCATACATGTTTCTTTTTAATTACCTAAGAGGTAATAACTTAGTAATCGTGTGTAAAATAAGAAAGCATTTTGATTATTATTATTGAGAACAAAGTTTTTGGGTAAAATATATCTATACATATAATAAAATTGTAGAAAAGTGCTGTCTGTGCATTGAAAATAAAAATTAAAAAAAATTGCAGGGGTTGTTGTTATGTCGATGTCGAACCCAAAAATGTAATTAACTTTTTTTTGGTCTGTTTGTCTGTTCACGCTAATCTCAGAAACGGCTGATCCGAGTTGGATGCGGTTTTCACGAATATATTGTGGTATGCTTCAGTTATGCTTTAGTGTTTGTTTCATGTCAATCGGTTCATAAATAAAAAAGTTATGTCAAATTAAAGAATCACGTCGAACGAAGTCGCGGGCACAGCTAGTAAATAATAAATTTTAGCGTCTCCAAAATAAGTCTGTGCTTTTTGTCTTGCCAAAATCACGTCTATAAATTGTGTTCGTACCTAAAGTAACTTTCTGTACCACACCGTTGGGATTCGCAGGTTCTTTAACTCCCGAACTGTGATATATGGACAAGTTAAAGTTTTCAATACTAATAATACGAGTGTCAAACATGAGAGTGTTTAAGGAAATCACAGTTATATATAAAAGAAAATTGTGTTAGTTACACTATTTATAACTTAAGAACGGCTGTAGAGATGGTTAAACATTGGTGAAGAGATAGCTTAGAACCAGGAGACGGACATAGGATATTTAATTCTGTTCATTGAAAAGGAAAAAAATATATAAATTTAAATATCTGGTTATTTACGGCCTCTGGGGTAGAATAGAGTTCGATCGGTCAGCTATACATATATAACTAATTCAAAAATTAACATGGACGAAGTTGCGGGCAAAAGATAGCTAACTTAGTTATAATTTCATTTAAGTACGAACAATATCTTAAAAATTGTATAGATTTCAGAATAGAAACGACAAGCAGAATAATCTTCTATCTTCTAGATCGAGTCAATTTTAATTTTCATGTCTCCGATAATTAAATATTAGTTACTCTAAAAGTGTATTACTTTGTTGAAACAGCTGAGTATTTTAAAATATGTAACCTACGCTGTATAACTTTTACTTTTTATCGCTACATTCACACGAATGAAGAAATATTCAATATTTCTTTCGTACAATAGTTCTCGTAACAAAATGCCAGCTATATATCTTCAGTAAGGTGCATAAGTTGTACATTCGGGGCGTGTATAGTTAGAAGCTTAGTTGTACACATCTGATAAATCTTTGACATCGTGAGACACATGGTCTGGTGTTGCAACATTTACATGTACAATGTTGCCACAAAATCACAACATTTACGAGAAGTCAAAAAAGGTTTTAAATAATCTTACTAAATAAATAATTTGCAGCATTAATAGTACAATCCTGGAAAACTAACGCTTTCTTAATGAATTTAAGGAAACAATTATTTTTTATTATATTTATAGAAACAAAACTAATTCAATATTAAATATCATAGATATATAAACAAAGTGAAACTATTGAAACGGAAGGTATGTTATATTACTAAAGCAATTACCGGCTGGCGGCTGCCCACGTTACATCAACTTATCTAGACGATCTGACGCTGCTATTAATATAAGAATTTATACTATCTTGTTATGAAAAGAGGTTTACTCGTCGAATACAGTAAAGACTCTGTTAAATATTTGATCGAATTAAAAAGGGATTGCATGGAATTATTGAAAATAACTACAAATAAATATCGTTAAAAAAATGTCATCAAAATCATACGAAGGTAATTTTATTCCTATTTGTAATTAATATTATTATAAATAATTAAAGTTTATTAATATCCGTTCGTATTGGTGTTGCATTACAAGAATCGTTACAAACATTAAACACTAAACATATAATAATATATCATAATTATTTTTACACATTATATATTATTTCATGTGGTTTTATTTAAACATTACATAATATGGATTATTTCTGGACGTAAGCTTCAATTAACAAAGCGTTGTAACGTCACAAAATTAATCTCACTGCCTTAGAGGTCAAGTCAACGACTGACTCCGTGACTCATCAATGTGTTTTGTAATTTGTCATAGAAATATCAAAGATTCAAACCTTTATTATCTCAACTTTAAGATGAATGTGTGGGTAAAAACAATAGTGTTATTGTATAAAATTATTTTTCCAAAATATCTACAACAATACTTTGATTTTCTATAGAAATAGTGAATAGTGATACGTGCAAGTATATTAAATTGAGGTAATTTAACTTAAACAATTTATTATAGAATATTTTTTATCGCCCACTTCATTGTAAAGGGGCTACTACAAATGTAAGGAGACGTAATAAACAATTATTGTTCCGTCTGTAGTTACTTTGATTTTATTTTTAACTTCTATTTTTTATATACCAACCTTTCAAGGGTTAAAACAGTGAAGAGCTTAATTCTGTTTACAATATTAGGTGTTGAAATATTTAGAATCTGTGTAATATTCAAAATGTATTATAATAATGATCACCTGTTTAATTTTACAGTCGACAATAATACTTTCATTAATTAATAAACAATAGAAATTATATTATGTTTGCTATAAAAGTAAAAAGAGAAATTATCGTCAGGCATGATGGGACTGTACAATTAGTTATAATTACGATTTTACAAACATTACAATACTTATGGTGAGTTATAGCGTTTAAAATTTACATGTACACAACCATCGTGAAACACTTGTATGGTGCGGTTTACTTTTATGGAATGCAAACGCTTTAGGAATAGTGATTGCAAAAGTCCTGTTACTGGCTCGCAGTATACCAATTGCGAATCAAGATGTATCGCCGTCTAATATAAGATAGAACGTACCTTTTAAAGCGGAACGCCTTCGTAATCGACTTATTATAAATCCATTGACAAAACAAAACGAAACACAGGCACAACACTAAATGTTATAACGTAGATACATAGGAGCCGCACATTTTGTACCGGGTTTGGCGCGCAATAAAAAAAATACAGGATATTTAAACAGATGGTGATTTATTTTTGTTCACGCGCGTAATTTTATTTCGTGCCGCTGGAACGCGGTTCTACAGTAGGGAACGGGTCACGATACTAAGTCACAACCGTTTGTTTTCCACATCTGTTGTTTCACTGATTTAACGTGTTGCTGTCTCTGTCGGAAGGTGGCGACACCTGGTGCTAAATAACGAACTACGGGTCTACGTTAACGGTCACGTAACGTAGTAAATACGACGACTTTCTGAAGATGGCGCTGAAGTTTTATATGACGATATATGTTGCAATAAATGCCAGATGGAAGTGTTATAAAACCAGCAATATTGCGGTGGACCTATTATAAAGCCTCAATACTTATAATATAATTATTGTGCTATTTAGTTAGTTTAGAATATCACAAAACATATGTTATTCTTCCAGGATAAACATAATTATGTTTGTGTAATAATTAGTTTTTAAAAAATTTATACTTATTAAATATGGTATATTGACAATCATAAGCCTGTAAGAAAAACAGGACTCAAAACATTCATTTTATATCAAGAAATTCATGGGCTTCGAAATAATCGTCAAGAATATAATAAAATATACATTATTTTCTTGTCATCTGTAATTTCCACTTGAAAAACTAGGAAAAAAAAATTAAAAATATTTCATTTTATTATTCACAAAAAAAATATATACCTAATTTATTCTTAATTCTACACTAACGCAATGTCACCTTACAACTTAGTTCTGAATCAGTCAATTCCGATATAACTTTGATTAAATTGTTACTAGACATGACATTTTTTGGTTCGTAGCCCGAAGACAACCAGGAATCTAGTACATCTGTGCTCGGTAGGAGAGTTCTTAACGTATTTCTTATATAAATGTAGGCTTGTGGTGAATATTTATATACACTAAGTGAAAAGTTCTTCAAGTCGTCTGTATGCCTGGTAGGCATGGCTAGTACTAATCCGTTGGTATCCTCTTTGATTTTATCTTGAAGTGAGAGTAATATTCTAGATTTCTTTTTCCTTTTCTGGTTCAGCAGATTCCTCTTCGTTTCTATGGCTTCTTTAAGTCTCATTAGGAACCTGCTCTGTCGTTTGTATATCTTCATGCTAGATTTTAGTTTCTCGCTGAGGTAGACCGCTTGTCGTTGCATTTTCTGGACTTCTGTAAATAGTTTTAGTACTTCATAATTGTCCTCTGTTCTATGAGGGTCTGTGTTAACACTGCCATTGGTCAGTCTCTTAGCGTTAGACTCGTGGTTTTCTTCCAGTTCCATTTCCTCTTCCTCGTATTCATTGTCCAGGGTCTCCTCGTCAATATATTCGACCTGAAAAAATAATTTAAATAAATACTATATGAATTGATCGCTTCATAGGTTCCATACAAAAATTTGGTGAAAGCGATGTAATGTTAAATAAGTGGCTTTCACAAAAAAAATTATTATATATATTTTTTTGTATATTGACAAAATGGAATTACAGCTGTTTTTCAATTTTTATTTTTTTAGAGACTGAACGATTTTTGGGTCTGGACCAAAATAAGACTTAAAACTCAAAACGTAAAGAGTAACTAATTTGCAAAAAAAGGTATATAAGCGATTAATATCATATATATCATATCTTCCTTGTCTTTTAAGAAAAAGTTCTTAAAACCTCTTTAATACAGACTGGTCTCACCAAATCTCTATAATCAGGATCACCAAAATTTCTTATGTTTTACAGTTAAAAGGAAACAAACCCTTAAAAAATAAATAAATTCATTTATTTATACACTATATTTACCTCCAAGACATGTTTTGGCAGTTTGAGTGATGGTACTGCCTTATTGACGAGCACAACGGCATTTTCAGCATTACACTCGAAGCAGTCCACAGAAAAATGCTGCACACATATATAGGAGTAGTCTGTGGGTGTCCAGTTATTTCTGCCGGTCAAGTCAGCCCATATTTGTCTTAGGCTGGGGTCCTCGGGAAACCTTTAAATAATCACAACTATTACAATGCAATCATATTATAATTTCAACAAAACAAAACTTATTACTATGACTGAATGTTTATATAAATTTGTAATGGAGTTTAGGATAACATGAAAAGTAGTTGATGCCTTAAATTAGCATTTTCCTATTAGTGAGTGGTAACAATTTATTGTGGGTGCTGCAGGTTTAAATGGGATTGGTAAGAACCCAATACAAAAAAGGGGCGTTATGTAGAGGCTGCAGTTATTTGTAATTTCATTTAACTAAGATAAGTAATAGTGCTTTATCACTGAAAAGTTGGGGGTGTTAAAAAACAATTTATTCCCAAAATGGAAAATAGACAAAATAAGTTTGAGAACCTTTACTTAAGATAAATATTACAGTCAGATTTTGACATGGCTCTATACTCTCTGAATGCTTATTCTTAAATAACATGTTTTAAAACGCTTTTTTGACCTCAAGTTTTGCTTAACATATATACTTATATTAGTAGCTTTAATGTACAAAGTTTTATTATGATCACAAATACAGTCACTTTTACTTTTTGTAGAGACTGATACAATTCATGGATAAATCAATAGAATGAGGTTTTCATTTCCAAATGTTGTATAATTGTAATGAAAATATATAAAAAACAGAATTCAATGTAAACTATCTGAGATTCCTTAATATTTAATATTGAATTGTTAAAATGCAATGAACACTCAATTTTGAAAACAATTCATGGATTAATAATATAAATTTTATTTTTATTTAAATGAGACTAATGAGAAATATATGTATTCATATATGCAAATAGAATAAAATAAAAATTATAAGTTATATAGGAATGAAGATTCAGCATTAGAAAGACTGATTTTTTTTAAAGTGTTTAAAGTTTTTTAAAGTCCAGAACTCCAATGTTATAATTTCAGAGATAATTAATATTCCTTACATTATATAATAAAAATCTCATGTATGCATGTTTTGTATGCATATGTGTAAAAATACACTGGTTTATGCAAATCCATAACTTAAATATACAAGGAGTGTATTGATTATCTTTCAGTCTTTAAAAATGGTCAGCTTAAATTTATTTATATCAATATTATGGTAAATTCATGTGATATGAATACCGTAATATAAAATGGATTATTCTGTCAGGATAAGTTATACACCTTCAAGCATAGTAGGAACTTAAAAAATAAGCTTTAAATTTCAGTGTCCAGAAAAAAGTTATATTTATTAACAATTAAACTATCAAAGATTTTTATATCAAAAACTATATAAATCTAATATAAAAATATGTTAACAAAATGCTTAAATGTGATAGAACTATGTTGAAGATGGTTTAAACTCGGTTCCAGTTATATAAGTACATCCTAACAAAACTCTGATATTCAAAGCATATTAAAATTGGTATTATAAAACTTGCCTATGATTTGAGTAAATTAAAACACATTTATTAACTCTAATAAAGGGTATTTAAAATATACATTTTATAATGGCTTATATGCGTTATGAAATAATTATTTCAACATAGCTCTTAAAAGTATGTGTGAATATATGTATGTATGAAATGCATCAGTAGTAATGAGGTCAGTTTGTTAGTCTGTGGGTTTATGAGTTATCTATACAAAATACGTACCTAAAAAATGAGTCTGAATTTAAATTTTTTGATTCCTCACATCCCAGGACAGCGCATGTTTTAGTTATCTCCGTGTCTGCCTCCGTATTCTGTTTGACTTCTGGCGCCACTTTAGCTAAAACATTTGCAGCAATAAATAACATATTAAACACATATTTATTTTATATAGTAAGGATTCTCGATATACCGATAAGTATGGATTTTGATCTACTATCTTCATTTTCTTTAATTTTAATCAGTCCTTGACTAAAACTCATGTTTTCGACGCACTCGCGGTGTCATAAATCTTTAAGTTTCTCTTCGAATGTTCGGTATTTTTACTTAAGTCCAAAAAGACACTAACAAGAAAGCTTTATCAACAATATGATTAGCCTTCAATGGTTGTAAATTAAGGAATAAACTAACTAAAACCCTTAAAAGCTTAACTCGAAGCACCAGTCGCAACTTGAACAGGTTATGCCTTTTAAAAGTGTAAATTTCATTTTATTTAAATACGAGCAGTACAGCGGTTCGATATATAATATTTAATCATTATTCATAGAAGTGATTATTAATTAATGATAACCGTGTTCCAAGCGATTTTGACGCTACCACTCATATAAAGTTCAAACTACTGACATGACATTTGTTGCGAGTCGCGACTTGCGTTTAGAAAGCAGACTGATTATATAAAAATTGTCTGTGGTAAGCATTTGACCATTTGCTTATAATATTTTATTGTATGGCAAGCTTACAAAATTGTCATATTGTATTGTCATACAGTAATAGAGGAATTAATTTGGAAACGCAAATATTCATCGGGACCTTCGTAGTTCTAAATTTTATGTCAGTAAAATGGTAGACCCAATATTTGATTACCAGTTTAGGCTTATTTTAATCGGGGATAGCACGGTAGGCAAGAGTTCTTTGCTGAAATATTTTACAGATGGAAAATTCGCAGAGGTAGGATCCCTTTGTTTTTGTTGTTGTATAACATTAATGAATAGAGGACTTAACTGCGTATAATTTTCAGCTATCCGATCCAACTGTGGGGGTTGACTTTTTCGCTCGTATTATCGAAGTTCAGGACGGTACAAGAATTAAATTACAACTCTGGGACACTGCAGGTCAGGAAAGGTTTAGGTCGATCACGAAATCTTATTATAGGAACTCAGTTGGAGCTCTTTTAGTTTACGACGTGTGTAATCGATCCAGTTTCGAACACATACCTTTATGGATGATGGAAGCAAAGAGACATATAGAACCACATCGACCAGTGTTTGCATTAGTCGGGTGTAAAGTTGACCTTGTTGGATCTGACAATAAGAATGGAGCAAGAAGAGAAGTATCATGTGAGGAGGCCAGGATGTTTGCTGAAGAAAATGGTTAGTTTTTATCAGTTCTTTGTAATATGTAGAACAAGGCTAAGACCTTTAAACAGAATAAATTATAAAGTTTAACACACATGATAAACGAATTGTATAGTTTATAAATGGAATTAATTTATAACAATTGTTTATCAGCATTCATTTGAATTCAATGTAACTTTAAACAGATATAATGACTATTTAAAATGTGGCCCACTAAATTATCCTATTTATTTGTTTTACAGGACTTCATCATGTCGAAACATCGGCAAAGACTGGCCTGAATGTGGAACAAGCATTCATACTTGTGGCTCAAGAAGTTTATAATCGCATACAAACGGGTGAGTACAAAGTTGAGGATGGCTGGGATGGAATAAAGACAGGTTTTAACCAACCGAATGGTATGGATTTCAATCTACTTGAAGCGGAAACTGTTCAATCTACCTGCTGTTAGAAAAACATCATGTTTTGACTACTTCGGTAGCAATACATTCGTTATCGTGACATAATTTGTAATACAGTTTCTCAATCTAAAATTCATAATTGATTCTGACAAATTAAGATAACTTTAGTTTATATGTACGGTCTACATAATGTTACACAAATAGCAATGGTTTTTAACAACGTCTTATCTCGTCCTTGTAGGTTGAGGAACTGTTTTAAATTATACTTAAAAGTATATAAAGTTGTGTTGTAAATATTTACTCATATAGCTGTACGGATAACGATATAAGTATAACTTAACACGGTCGGCACAAGTCTCGATGATCTAATCACATAAAACAATAGATTTTTTAGTTTCTTTATATATAATTAATTATTTTTTCACTAACTTTAATATATATTTTTTTTTAATTCAGCATCACGATTACTGGTGTTAAAATTAATAAAATATAAGCGCTAATAATTGTGTGAAAACCTGGATGTATAATTCCACAATTATAAGTTTGAAATCACCAACCCGTCTTGAGCAAGCGTGGTGATTAATGCTTAAACCTTCTCCATGTGAGAAGAGGCATTTTCTCAGCAGTGGGCTCTGATAGGCTGATGACGAAGTGCTAATTTTGTTTCAGTACAAATTTCTTTTATTTAATTGTTGCTCATGAAAATTGCAATTATTCTACCAATTACCAATTCTAGAGATGTTGTGACATCAAAATGTTATTGCATAATATGAAGCTTTAATTCATTAATGAGTTTATTAATTAAGTTATATATCATTAGTATATTAATTGAATTTATATAATTGTCATTTATTATGTGAAGAATTCTTGAAATAGTGATTGAAACCGGAGTTGGATGTAACATTTATGGCTATAATCAATGGGTAGTGTCTTCTTCTATCTGGCAATTTCCCAGCATTAGCCAGAATCTGCCTTACATGTTGTGAATAGTTTTGGCTAATTGTTTTTACGACCGGCCGCCTACCTGATATCAGCCCTCTTTGGGAGTAAAGTAGTATCTGTAGTCATTATAATTAATAAGTTAGTCAAAATTTTATGGAGTATAGAAAGCCTTCAAATTGTTAGTATCTGTAACGGAAACTACTGTTGATTTTTTTTTTCAGTTTATAAATCTATTTCATAGGGGCTGTCCATTAATCACGTGAGGCTTGAAAGGGGGGGGGGGGTTTGATAAAAATCACGAAAATATCACAAGGGGGAGGGGGGGGGGTGTAGTAAGATATCACGTGTATTTATTTTTTCGTCTAACGCGCGATTTTTAAACAAATATTTAAAAAAAACTTGCAACCTGGTGTAGACATTTTAATTATGGTCCTTAATTTCAGAATAATATAAGATTATAGTTTATACCTGTATTTAAATTAAGATAATATTCAGAAAATTTTAAGATTCGTTGTAGCTACTAAAAATACACGTGATGTTGAGAAGGGGGGGGGGGTGTCTTAAACCTCACGACGTATCACCAATGGGGGCGGGGGGGTTAAAAAATGCTAAAAAAAGATCACGTGATTAATGGACAACCCCATAGTAAAAATAGACATAATCAAAGACAAAATAGTTTTTTTTTATTAATAGAAATTTAATTAAATCCTTAATACTTTAGTTTGTATATATGTTGTTTTCTTTTTTGTTATTAATGGTAGTGACATACTACAAATTATTTTGTTTAATGGATTCCATATACTCATTAGTGAATTAGATATTATTATGCATAACATTGATATAATGAGAACGATTGAGTGCCAATAGTCATTAAAGCTTTGCCTACTATTAGTAAATAATAATAGTATACCATAGACAACACAGACCACAGACAATTCAAAGACCAAAGAGTTGTTCACGATTTTTCAAAATGTTAATTTAATTTTTATCATAAAAAACTAATACGTTCTACTCGTGTAGAGATTTTGTACCTGTAATAATCTTTAAATGCAAAATATTAGTAGTAAGTAACTGACGTGTGTAATAATTCTATATTAAAAATAGTTGAATCTCCTTAAATATCATGAAAAAAATAGCTGCCATTGGCTATGGTAAGTTAGACAACTAAAAACAGGTTCAGGAGAATTCCTGACGATATAGAAGTATTACATGAGTTAGAACCACGTATATTACGGTTTTTGTGTGATAAGGGATTGGAAAAAAATCGAAATCTATAAAAAATTAACGTAAAATTATTTAAACAATGTGATTGGAAGTTGGAAACGATTTTAACTGTTGTAAATGTTATTGTATTCATTTTATATGTAATATTAATTCCAAGGATTTTTTTTCAGCATCAATATATTTTCTTTGTATATATTATATAATAATTTTATTCCAATACTTAGCGTCCATTGTGTCTTAAGTCACAACACAAAATATATTTTTGCAAGTAATTTCGACTTATTTTTCAACCTTCAATATATTTAATCAAAATAATACCGACTTATCTTTTAATTTTTAACATCATTTTTTTAATAATTTTAATAAAGTTTGGATTTTTCGTTTAAAACTAAAATATAACCGTCCAAACATCGGCAGAATATTAAAAAAAATATATTTCCAAACATTTACAAGGCACAAACAAACCACAGACATAATACATAATTATTTTATTATTTATATAGTTATTTTATTTTGTGTATCAGGAGTAATGTAGTATGGTTTTGTTGAATGGGATTCTCCTATAATACCGCTGTTATAATATGCTTATGAATATTAAATAAAGTTTTTGTTAATAATAATATGCTTGTTTTATTTTTATACTTTGTCGTAGTTTCTGTTAAATTGTGTTTCGACAAGTCCAGTAACCGAGATAGCTTAATTAAACTCTAAGTGGATTAATAAACTGGACTGCTATATAATAGATATTACTTACTACTTTCGGATTTTTTTTATTTATTTTTTGCCCTTGAACAAATAAGTTGTGGCAGTCCTTAATAGTCCCAACAAGAAAAATTCTATCGATTACAGTAACTTTCTTCTTATTAATGAGTCAAATTGTAGAATACTTTGTAATTAAATATCGTACAAGGTATCGTCATCGTAAATCGGTTGTAGGAAATATTAAATTGCTAGCTTTCCGCCCGCAGATTCGCCCGCGTCGAGTTCCGTTATATCGCGTTTCCAAGAGAACCTTTCAAAAGTCTGGGATAAAAATTATCCTATGTTCTTTCTCAAGGTCAACTCTATGTCTGTACCAAATTTCATTAAAATCAGTTCAGTGGTTTAAACGTAACAGACAGACAGAGTTTTGCATTTAAAATATTAGTAGGGATTGTTGACTTACAGAAACATTTATTTCAACCTCCGCCAATTAATGGTCCTATGGGCCACGATTCATGCGTGTGGGCGTATACTAAATTAGAGCTACTGCGTATATAAATTTATGTCCTCTGTCACTGTAGTATAAAATGCTGAAGCAGAATATACTGAGAAGTATGACACAAACTTTTAAAAGTACTAGGAGATGCACCTTCGCATTTTTTCTCATTTTCGCTCGGAAAAGAAGCTTTATTTCGAAGAAGAACTAAATATAATTATTTAAATAAAATATACAAGAATAAAATGTAAGATGGTTAAAAACGTACTTTGTTTATTATCTGGTGTTTAAAACAGTGTCCATCCATTTAAAAAAATGTACCTTTATCATCACTTATATGGACTATAATGTATATAGATAGTTTCAATAAGAGAACCTTTAATCAATTTGACCATATTCAAAATATATGCCTAAATTTTTTTTTATGCAATCAAATCATGTTCCAGAATTTTATCTGTACAGCTATATTTCTAATATATATATATCCGTTTACACAGTCAGTTCTATTTATTTTTAGTTACCGTTCATTTTAAGCCCTTAATAATTTAATAGATGTGCTCTAATAAATTTTCCTACCGTAATGTAAGACTCTGTGAGTTCATTCTTATTAGACAAATTCCATTGTAATAAGGATTCCTCCAAAATAACATTGACCGGTTTTGTACTCGAAGCGTATCAAATCGAAGTTTATCAAATTAAGATTTTTATTTCAGTTTAAATGTTCTGTAATCCTACTTTTTTACTTGAAAAACCTCTTTTCCAAATCATTTAAATATTTGGAGTCCAATAAATATGACATATTTCGTTGTGTGGCAAGGACATCAAAGCAAAAAACATAAAATGTAACAAGAATTCTTTTGTTAAGTTTAGTTCTTTTTGGCTAAATGCCTGCAAATAAATATTTTATCATATCATGAGTTCCAATTTAAATTATTATAAAAAGATAATTTTCATTACCTTTTTATAATTAATAACTTGTAAATCATTGAAAAAAATGTATGCCAAGTGATATATAAAAAAATAACTTTATGCAATACGAGCATGACTGAGAAAAATTTCTAAAATAAAATTCTCTAAAAAATTATTTGAAGATTTGATTTAATTATTTAATAACTGAACTACAAAGAAAAAATTAAAAACATTAAATTTATGTTTACATATTTTAATTAAGGGGAAGAAGAAAAAGATAAGAATTAATATATCTAATTTGTTTTCAGTTTTTACATCTTCTTAGGCCCAAGGTATGAATTATGGACGAAGTGACAACGTCAGAAATTAGTAGTTTTGAAATGTCAAAAACTGCTTCATAGTGCCTGAATTATAGTTAAACATAATATTGTGATTTCACTCAAATATCTCAATTTTCTATATATTACATCGTTATTTGTTGTTTGACAAGTAGTTTTCTTTACATTATTAAATTCTCTCTTTGTCATAATGTCGTCTAGTCGATCTAAATCTTCAATACTCGACAAACCTCTCAGCAAAGGAAAAGGGGAGGTGTCCCTAGCCCTTTACGCACTTTTATTTTCGGAAATTGTTCAGTATTGCCAAAATCGCTCACATTCCATCAATGAGTTACAAACTAAGTAATCAATTTGCACTACCAACTATTTGTTTTCCTGTTTTAAACATATATTTTCAACAGTTAACTTCTTTAAGGCTCTCTGAAATGGGATATGATGTTGGAACAAGACTCTTGGATCTTTATTTCGTGAGAGAGAGAAATAGTAAAAGAGAAATAAAATTGTTAAATATGCTGCTATTTGTTAAGTCTACATTATGGAAGGTGAGAATAATGTCTCTTAATCTTCAGAAATATATCTAGGGTACTGATTAGGCCTAAAACTGGACATGTTCATCTTGTAAAGTCTGCATAATAATTATGTATAACAGTAATCTTTTTTCCTAATATTAGTTGCAAGTCTTTGTATATACATAAGTATTTAATATTAAGGCTATATCATTACTAAACATTTTAATTTGACACATAAACAGGTCCTTTTTGGCAAGGAGGCTGATAAATTAGAACATGCCAATGATGATGAACGCACATATTACATCATTGAAAAAGATGCGTTGGTAAGCTTTGTGAACATACATCAACAAAATATTATATAATTTTTCTTTAAAATAATATAAAGTGTATATTGAGTACTGCTACCTTTTTTATCAGGTCAATAAGTTCATAAGTGTGCCGAAAGACAAGGGCTCTTTGAATTGTGCCTCATTTAATGCCGGTATTATTGAAGCAGTCCTAACAAACGGAGGATTTGTAAGTGAATCTTCACTTCACCATTCTAAATTATTTATATCTTAGATGAAAAGAACAACTAATTAATGTTTTAAGATAACTTTCAAGTTTCATTTTAAAAATATTTTCTGTGTCTATTACATTACCAATTTAAATCATTAAATACTTTTTCATGATTTGTTTATACATAAATGTAAGCATAATTTTGTTTGAAAATGTTAGTAGTTAGTAAGATACCACATATTTGCTGACTGAAGATATTGAATTAACTAAAAGCTATATATTCAACCATTAATACAAGAATATTTTCCAGCCCGCCAAAGTTACAGCACATTGGCACAAAGGAACTACTTACATGGTGAAATTCGAAGATATGGTCATCACAAGAGATAAAGGGCTTGATGACCGATAGAAGAATATTGTTACACAATGATTAAAATAAATTAATTTGTATTGTAATCTTATTTTTCAATCTTTTTATGTTTATTAACCCATAAGTACATCTAATACTACTTGGCAGCCCTAGTAGGTTAGTTTCAAATTTGATTAGGTAGAGAGAGGAGCTTGGACGGTGAAGGTGACCGTTTAACGTGCGTTAGATAGGGCCGTTAGATAGGGCAACGTTGAGCCCAACACCCGCACAGTAAATCGATTGAATGCTGAGAAGTTTCATCTCACTAATACATTTTCTTATTAATCTCTCCGCTAAAAAACACTAATACAAATAATTTCAATAGCAATAAGTTTTAATATATCAGAATAACTAATTTTTTCACAAATAAACAAAGTAATATCAACGTATTAGCACAATTTGAACATTCTATCTCTGTAACGAATCTTGCCACAACGGCAATCCTGCAAGAAGTTAGTTCTTTGTTTCCATAGAATATATCCGTACACAAACATAGGAAGGACTATCATGAGAGCACCCTTCATAGCATTCCGGGGAGTGGCTTGGAAATATTCAACCTGACAGGCTTTCATTGACAGCCATCTCTGCAGAGCTTCGTCAAACTGAAATTGATTCACTCATTAATTAGTGGGAGGTTTCCTGTTTAATGGACTTTATTTTGACTAACATAGGAAACAATATAAAATATAGACTGTAATAACTATTTATAATCAAAATAGAAGATGATGCATTAGTGATTAACGTTTTGTTGTTAAATAACAACACTTTTCTTAAATATATATAAGGATCGGTAATTAACACAAGAAAAAAACAAATATAGGATATCTTTGCCATAATTTAGTAAAAATTCATAGAAGTCACAGATTCTCAATACTAATATATTTTGATATAAGTAGGTATATACATCTATTTCTTTAGTAAAACGAAAAACATACAACATATCCCGACTCCTTCGAGTGTAAGCATGGGTCGGTCCTAAGCTTCAAGAATTCCTGTCTATATTTTGCCCGTCTCTCAATTTGGGTCATTATTATTTTGTATTCAACATCAGAAAAACCATATTTATTCATCTTTGAAAATATTTAATGTTCTATTGATCTTTAAAAGTCAAAGAATAGTATGCTGAGACTTAAGATTGACATTTACTTTTTTTTAATAATAAGCAAAGAACTGGCATGTTACAATCTGTTCACTTGGACAGTTAAGTACAAAATGATTATGGACAGTCTAGAAGAAAAGCGTGAATAAATAAAACAATTATATTTTTAAATGTGATTAACTAGATTTCTATACAACAACATTAGTTTTTAGCAAAGTTTGAATTCCCTGTCCCTGTAACGAAGCTCTCCCGATCTGATCTGGCGTTCCCTATTGTCGCGGTGATTCTTGATCAAGTATCCGTACGCAAACATTGGGACTACTATGGAAAAGAATCCAAACAAAGCAGTTCTCTTATTGGCTTGAAAATGGTCGAGCTGAGTAACTTTCATGGATATGAATCTCTGATGGGCCGAGTCGAACTAAAACAAACATTATTAATCAATAAAGTAACCATCAAAACAAAGATTTGTTTTAGTAAAATTACGTAATTTTACGTACAACATAGCCCGCCTCTGAAGCATTTTTCCACGGATTGGTTCTCTGTTTCAGAAACTCTTTCCTCAACTCTGCACGCCTTTCGGCTTGCATTTGTATGAGTTTATATTGGTTTTCTGATATTCCATATTTCTCAGCCATTTCCGACTTCGATTAAAAAATTGTTAAGTGAAAACCCTGGAATCGCTGTTTACAGGTTACTACTAAACTTCTGTCATTTGTCAAATCGATTTTGACAGTCACAGTATTAATAAAGGCATTATAAATAATAGTCCCCATAATTTTAATTATAAAGAATGACGATTATTTTTATCAAATAAGTTTGAATAAATTATATATGATCTTAAGATCTAAAATTAATTTTTATTAATATAATGAAAAAACAAAAATTTTCCTGATAGTGTGTACATATCCGAATACGAACGGATAACGAGGACATGGCAACTTCCGGAAACCATCTTTTTAACTCCCGTTGTTGTCGTTGTCAGGTCGGCGATTTTATTAAAAAACCGCAACCATGGGTCGTATGCACGCACCTGGGTAATTTTAATGTTATTTAACTCGTGCAGTATGTTATTATTGATCAGTGTAATAAGTCTGATTATAATCGACATGTTGAACATAGTGACAGTCTAACCTATAGGTTTGGTTAGCGTGTACCACATGGCTCGTAAATGTAGTGTGTTATTTTGTGTTTCAGGAAAGGTATCTCACAGTCGGCGTTACCTTACCGCCGCAGTGTCCCCACCTGGTTAAAACTCACAGCCGATGATGTTAAGGAACAGATTTTCAAACTCGGCAAGAAGGGTCTTACTCCATCCCAAATCGGTAAGCATTCCTTTCATCTCTTACTTATAAATTATAATTAATAACAATTAACATGACATCAGCTCTAAATTTTATTACATCCTTACTAATATTGATATAAATAAAAAAAATAAGAACAATTCGTATTTTTCTTTCAGTATCAGGAATGCTTATTTGTCATACTTAAGTATATGTTTAATACAAAACAAATTATTTCAATATCTCAAATGTTGAACATTTAATTGATACCATGTTATTAAAGCTGTAATATTAATAACTTTTTACTATGCTAATACATTATCAGTGAATATTTAGAACATCACTGAAACTAAAGAGTTATAAATTAATCTAGTCACCCAAGCTAATGTTCTAAGATACCGAAGTTTAAAAACATGAAACTTGAGGAAATGATGGTTTGAAGTAGTGATTACACTAAAATATGAAAATATAAACACAGTCTTAGAATGTATGTTCCTGAAATATAAGTTTTGTAGCATCCAATTATTACATAGAATTTAAAATTCATATCATTGATGAAGTACCAGTACCTCCTAAGTATTGAGAATCTAATTTTGCACCAGAAGAAAAAAAACTGTAAAATATATGTGAATGAATGAATACTGCCACTTAGTAGATATTTTCACGTAGCTCAAGAAACTGTTTGGTAAAGAAATATTGGATAGGAGTGAAGTCAATGTGAATATGAGTTTTACGTCTATTGTAATAAAAAAGTACTTTTGGACTAAATTGTCAGTTAGGTCACACGCACACGCACGCGTCCACACTTGGAACATGTTCACACTTTATTTATTTATACGGAAATTTGGTCAAAAACTAAGTACCAATTTTTTTACATAATTCGAATGAGAATCATGTACCGAGTATTCTCCTTAAATATTGATAGTAATTCACCAGTCACCTGTATAACCAACATATTATTAAACTGTGTATTTTACTTTGAACAAGAAATAAAATTATAATATATATAATTAATATATTTTTCTCATTAAAATTTCCGTCTTCCAGGTGTCATGCTCAGGGATTCTCATGGAGTCGCCCAAGTCAGATTTGTCACCGGCAAAAAGATCCTTCGTATCATGAAAGCTATGGGTCTCGCTCCTGATCTACCCGAGGACTTGTACTACCTGATCAAGAAAGCCGTCGCTATGAGGAAGCACTTGGAACGCAACAGGAAAGACAAAGACAGCAAATTCAGGCTCATTCTTGTCGAGTCAAGGATTCACAGGCTCGCTCGTTACTACAAAACCAAGAGCGTACTGCCCCCCAACTGGAAGTATGAGTCGAGCACCGCATCCGCTCTTGTGGCTTAAGTTTAAATAAACTATGTAAATTCCCATATTCTTATTTTATTTATCCTATAATTAAGATCTAATATGTTTCTTTAGTCTTTAGATCAATTTTAACAGGCATAAAAATACAAGAAAACTAGGAGCTACTTATGTGATTTCTAGTCATCCTTGATAAGTGAATAAAAAAAATTATTGTTACTCTGCAATACATTTAACAAACTTCACCTCTAATGAAGTATTTCAAAAATTCCTTTCTTTCATTCAGTTAATCTGACACATTGAATAGGCACTTTTTATTCACTGGCATTATTAATAACATTCTAAATTTTATAATTCTGCTACCTGGCAATTTCCCGGCTATAGCCAGGGTCTGCCTTCCATGTTGTGAATAGTTTTGGCTATTTGTTTTTACGACCGGCCGCCTGCCTGACGTCAACCCTCTTTGGGAATCAGCATTAATCAGTGATGTCTAAATATTATTAGAAAGTACATATGACTCGGAAAAATCACATTGGTACTTGCCCGGGCCAGGATCGAACCCGCGCCCTCGTGTATGAGCGGCGGGCCTTTTAATCACTGGGCTACCACTGACTTTAAATTTTATAATTTTTATGTTATATTTTGTCTCTTTATGATATTCAGTTTAAGCAAATTATACAGATAATTTTAAACAGTACATAAGGTGGGAAGCTCTCTGCTAGAGGGCTATGATAGGCCAATGACAAGCAATAACGTATTGACTATCGCCATGAAGAGTCAAATTGGCTGAGTGGTGGTAAGGTGAACATTAAAATAGTATAGCATCTTATCACTTGGTTGATAGTGTGTGTATCATGTGGAGAGCAAGATATTTACGACTAAGTTCAGGTCATCTCCAATGCTTGGCGCCCTTGCCTTCAATCGGGAGAGGATAAGCCTTGGTGTAAACACTCCACGAGGTACAGCCTCTTAGAAGTCCCTTTAAGACATAAATTACAAGCAGGTACCAAAACGGTACTTATTAATGGTGACTCGTACCTACATATCTAATTAATAATCGCAATATAATATAACTATAGATTTCCGCCCGCAGCTTCGCCCGCGTGGAGTTCGGTTATATCGCGTTTCCAAGAGAACAGTTCAAAAGTGTGGGATAAAAACTATCCTATGTTCTTTCTCAAGGTCAACTCTATATCTGCACCAAATTTCATTAAAATTAGTTCAGTGGTTTAGGCGTAAAAGCAGTAACAGACAGACAGAGATACTTTCGCATTTATAATATTAGTAGGGGTAATAACATCAATCATCAATACATATTATAAAATAAAGTCTCCCGCCGCGTCTGTCTGTCTGTCTGTTCGCAGCAAATAGAAAAACTAGTTCACCAATTATCAAGCTGTTTTCACCATTTAAGTACTATAGGTTTATAGGAAAGCTATTTTCATAATTACAGTATTAAGTCTTTTCAAATTATATTACTTCGTGTTCAAGCCTACATCAGTATCTATAAATTACTTTTTTAATTATTTAATTCGGCCGCACCATTTAAAACTTATCATAAATTTAATAATTCTCAAAATTCAACATACGCGATACTTTTTCATATGATCACGTCATTAATTTTGTATAAAAAAAGTAACTTTATGATATTAAAAAAACTATGATTAACATAAAAATATACCGTTTTTCTGCGTTCAATCTTATTTTATGTTTAAAGAAGAAAGATGATGAAATTTTTGTTTGTTTTCATTTAACTCAAAAAGAATGTTCTCAACGCATTAAACTTAACATACTTAGGCTATTTTATATTTTTTGCAAAGTACCCCTGCGAAGTTCGAGTGGGTACCTAGTTTCATAATCTATACTAATATTATAAAGCTGAAGAGTTTGTTTGTTTGTTTGAAAGCGCTAATCTCCGAAACTACTGGTTCGAATTGAATAATTCTTTTTGTGTTGGATAGTCCAGTTATCGAGGAAGGCTGTAGGCTATATAACATCACGCTACGACCTATAGGAGCAAAGATATAGTGGTAAATGTGTAAAAAACGGGAGAAATTATTTCATCTTTGAAGCCTTCCGTTGCGTGCGCCGTGAAAACGGTTCAAGATACACAAAAAATATGTATTAAAGAATAATAGCTCTTTTAATGATCTAAAAAACAGTCCGCGTCAGTATATGTCTATCTTTTAAGATTAAGTCCCAAAAACCGTTTTTATGGTACCTAATTTTGTTGAAATAATTTGTTTAAGTTGTATCAAAATAATAATATTAATCTTTATTCATATAAAAAAATAAATGTTGTTGGTTAAGAGTACTTCATTATTAATAAAAAAAAAACAGGGTTTATCCTGAAAATTCTACGGTAACTCGACCATTGCGAAAACCCCGCAAGAACGAGTACTATGTGGGAAGAACCAAAAATCTGTCGGAAGTAACTATTCCACGCGGACGAAGCCGCGGCAAAAGCTAGTATAATATATAGAAGCTTCTCTTCGACATCAAGCACGTGGGCTAGAACACCCATTGTAGAGAAAGGATGCATAAAATTCCTCTTATCCTGTAGTCACTACGACATTTAATACGATATTGAGCTCCCCTTTGTAATGAAAATTAGGCTCCATCATTTATACGATATACCTAGATATTGTAGCGATACAATTTCATTTATAAACTATTTGAATTCATTCAAAAGAATTATCAATTAATTTTATTTAATACTTTTGACTAAACTTTTGCACGTTTATTATTTTGCAATGACGTTTTCTCGGCGGGAACATGAAAGATAACTCCTAAATATACCTATAAAATGCAGTACAGAAAAAGGTATTAAATATTTGATTTGGTAGTGAGAAGGGCTTGGAGGGTGGAGGTGAGCGTTTAACGAACCTTAGATAGGGGCCCCTTAAACTTACACCTGGACCGCAAGTCCCAGGCACTGTTGAAGCTCCTCTCCCTGCAACGCGATGGACCCGGCACCCGCATATGAATACATTGAATGCTAAGAGGTTTCAACTTTACTTATGAATTTAGTTAAAATTAACAGCGATTTATATCTCAGTTTCTTCAATTAGGCAACAATGCAAATTTTTAATAATATTCAATAAACGCAGTAATGCAATAAAATCATTCATTTGCCATCTTATGATTCAATATATACCACTTTATATTATGTCACTAATTAATATAGGATATAAGTGTTAAAATATTTGGAAATAGTAAATTAGTATAGTAATTTTAATAAAAAAAAAAATCAGTATTAAAAAAATGTATAAAAAATTTAATCAATCATAGAGTTCATGAAACTAATATGCATGTTGTTAAATCTTAAGAGATAAAAATATCCTTTTTAATCATAGCATTATTTTGTAACATAATTCACTCAAATAAATATCATAATTTTCAAAATAGATATTTCATTCAATAATATCTGATGTCTAAGGTAAAATTTGGGATATTTTTGTAAAATAATGACACTTTAAACATTAAATTTTATTACCATTTAATACAATTTTAAATACAATGATTTATAAGGCAATAGTGATAGTGAAAACAGACTTAATAGATAATTAAGATAAATATTATTACTTAGAACAACAAACAAAACAGTAATAGGTTTAAAAATGATTTGTTTCATGAATAAAGAGTGATTTTATATATAATTTTATTTAATTAAACATATGGATTCCAATTGCTGCCATCTTCAGGGTGTAAGTTATTAGTGATAAGTAACACGACGTCTACAATCCACCAGATCCCTAAACCTCCTAATGTCAGCAGTTTCCCAACAGCGGTTCCTGTTTGGCCCAAACAAAACCGATCCATACCCAGGAAACCGAGTAAAATACTGTATATCAATGTGGTCGTAAAATAATGTCCTGAATATCGTACGCACGGAAATCCGTCTCTAAGAAACGTTCGGCTACCGTGACATTCGATACCATCTAATGCTTTACACTGGACTTTCGTTTTTTCCACTTCTTCGTAAGTTACGCCTCCGAATTTGACACAGCCGTGTTTAACAGCTTTTTTAGCTGTCTCATTTCCTTTATGATCAACTGGTTCGTCACAGTCCAGAAAGTCGAGGGGAAGAAAGCTACATTTAACTAAAGGACCGAGAGGGCGATAGGGTTCTTTTGAGTAAGGGTCGCTTTCTGATGAGCATAATGTTGCTAAAGTTGTGATGAGTACAACAATGCACAGTAAATTCATTATCAATACATATCATTTATCTGAATTGTGATAACATTTCTCGAAAATACGTTTTCTTCAAAAAACATTAATCGTGGAAATTGTAACAATAACAACATTTCAACGTCAATTCTTCCCTAAAGGTATGTCAAAGATTGACATAAATAAAGTTTATAGAGACTGCTTTCCCTCTTATTACATTGAAAGAAAATTCTACTTTACGAAATTAAAGATTATTAGTTTTAGAATAGTGTTCAAAAAGTTGTTTTATATATATTGGTTTATGATATTAGAAGAATATTACTTATTATATTCAAATTGAAAACACTTTTTTATTTATTTGTAAATGCTTCTTAAACAATCGGATCAAATCGGTATTAATTATAATTTTGACACTGACATTAAATCTTTATGACAAATCTTGTATTTCTTTTTTTGGTCGATCTCTGTAATCTTTTTGTGATGAATTCCTTTTTGGCAATATCTCTAAGTAGTTTGAAGTAAATAAACGAATATGGAGGTGTTTAACAAGTTCTACTCATCGGTTAGCAATACCGTGTCCCAGTTATCGGGAGTATTGCCGGGTAATCCAGTTACAAGAGAGTTCGAAGCGACTCAGTTCATAGCTAGTGCAGGGCCAGGTAAATCACATGTTCATTTTCATTAGTATATCATATAATTTTTCATTAATACCCATTCAAAACTTTTAGGCTTACTGTGGAAAGTATATAAAGGATACAAGAAATCGACAAAACAGGAAGCATCCATTTTCGTGTTTGAAAAGAAACAATTAGAAAGATGGTCAAAAGCGGACAGAGATATCATGATAGACATTTTAAAAAGAGGTATTGTTCAATTGACAAAATTACGACACCCTCAAATACTTACAGTTCAGCACAGTTTGGAAGAGAGTAGAGAAAGTCTTGCTTTTGCCACTGAACCTGTATTCGCGAGCTTGGCCAACATTCTTGGTAATACTGAAAACATGCCTCATCCTTTACCAAACCACATCGTTAATTATAAGCTCTATGAAGTCGAAATTAAATATGGACTAATGCAAGTGGCAGAAGGCTTAGCATTTTTGCACAATGATGTCAAACTGCTTCATCATAATATCTGTCCCGAATCCATAATAGTCAACCAGCAGGGTGCATGGAAAATATTTGGGTTCGATTTCTGCATTGCAAACCAAAGTATGACAGGTTCGGCACCATTTTGGCCGTTTACCGAATATTGCCAAGCAATGCATGCCCTAACTCAGCCATCATTGGACTTCTTGGCACCGGAATACATCCTATCGGCAACTCATTCCCCGGCCAGCGATATTTATTCTCTCGGAATGGTGATATACTCTTTGCATAGCACAGGACATAATACTTTGGGAAATGTTGGTAATGAATACAGTAAATATAAGAGGTTTGTTAATGAACTGAAAACTTTATCGCCTTCGAGACTGATGTGTGTTAATGAGGGGTTGAGGGAATATGTGAAATTGATGCTGAATGTCACACCAGAGCTTCGGCCGGACCCTCATCAGTTTCTAAAGGTTGGGTGGCATGTTTAATTAACATAGTATATAATATGCTTTGTTTTACTTGTAATTATTTAAAAAAGATCCCACATCAGTATTTTCAATATCCGAATTTTTATTATTTTCTTATACACTACTAGGTAAATCTTTCAAGAAATTCATCAAGTTCAATTCTTTAAGACTTTATTATTTACTAGCTTTTGCCGCGGCTTCGTCCGCGTGGAATAGTTACTTCCGACAGATTCTTGGTTCTCCCCACATAGTTCCCGTTCTTGCGGGGTTTCCGGAATGGTCGAGTTCCCGTAGAATTTTCAGGATAAAACCTATGTTTTTTTTATTAATAATGAAGTACTCTTAACCAACAACATATTTATTTGTTTATATGAATAAAGATTAATATTATTTTGATACAACTTAAACAAATTATTTCGACTAAATTAGGTACCATAAAAACGGTTTTTGTGAGTTAATCTTAAAAGATAGACATATACTGTCGCGGACTGTTTTTTAGATCATTAAAAGAGCTATTATTCTTTACAACATATTTTTTGTGTATCTTGAACCGTTTTCACGGCGCACGCAACGGAAGGCTTCAAAGATGAAATAATTTCTCCCGTTTTTTACACATTTACCACTATATCTTTGCTCCTATTGGTCGTAGCGTGATGTTATATAGCCTACAGCCTTCCTCGATAACTGGACTATCCAACACAAAAAGAATTATTCAATTCGAACCAGTAGTTTCGGAGATTAGCGCTTTCAAACAAACAAACTCTTCAGCTTTATAATATTAGTATAGATAAAATATATTTTATTTGAATTTTCAATTTTAATGTTCAAGTTAATAAATATATTGCTCATTTCTTTTTCAGATACCATATTTTGAAGATGTTGGTGTAAAAACTTTGAACTACTTGGATTCCATGTTCCAATGGGATAATCTGCAAAAGTCCCAGTTCTACAAGGGCCTGCCACAAATTATACAGAAAATGCCGCACCGTATTTGTATCTACCGAATTCTTCCATGCCTCACCAAAGAGTTCGTCAATCCACCGATGGTACCTTTCGTGTTGCCGAATGTTTTGCTGATAGCCGAAAATTCATCCAAGGAAGAATACGTGAAATATATTCTGCCAGTTCTGAAACCGGTCATGCTTATCCAGGATCCGATACAAATCTTACTTATATTCATGCAAAAAATGGAACTGCTATTAAAATTGACGCCGGGGGACGAAGTGAAGACGGAAATTCTGCCTATGTTGTACAGAGCTTTGGAATCGGATGCTCAACAGATTCAAGAGTTGTGTTTATCGGTGTTACCAACATTCGCTTCGTTGATCGACTATCCGGCCATGAAGAATGCTTTGCTGCCTCGTATTAAAAAACTATGCATGAGCACAAACTATATATCAGTGAGGGTGAATTGTTTGTTATGTTTGGGCAAGCTGTTGGAACATTTGGACAAGTGGTTAGTTTTGGATGAGATCATTCCATTCCTGCCACAGATACCGTCTCGAGAACCGGCTGTTCTTATGGGAATATTAGGTAAATTAAATTGAGTTTAAATTTCAATTCTATAAGTATATAACATATGGTTCATAATAAAACAATCTTTGTCTATTCATACCCTTTTTTTTGTTAAATTTGTTCCATTCAGAACAGGCAAAGAAAACAAAGCCCATACCATGTCTTTAATTATTTTTATATCTTTTTCTCATTTTTTTATTGAATTATGTTACCAATTCATACACTAAGTAGTAAATTCTTTTTCAGGTATATATAAATTAACGCTAGGGCACAAAAAGCTGGGTATCACCAAGGAGGTTATGGCAACCAAAGTCCTGCCGTTCCTCATACCTCTCTGTGTTGAGAATGGTTTAACGCTGAACCAATTCAATGCCCTCATATCACTCGTGAAACACATGATATCTAAAGTTGAAACCGAGCACAGGAGTAAGTTGGAGCAACTCAACTCAATACAAAATGAATCAAAGTGAGTTATTTCATGCTACTTCTTACCTTTTTCATACTCAAAGTATAGAAAAACAACTATTTCTAAGATGTTGTGAAGAGTAGTGTTATAACAGATTTAGTTTAGTTTCTAATAAAACAACAAATTCTAAATACAGAATTAAATATAATTGGATATTCGACTTTCGCGTGTGTTCATTGTTTTTCGAAATTACTACGCATATATATTTATTTTTAACAACAAACTCCAGAAGTTTAGTTTACTTTGCTGCAACCATACGACCAAATGAGATAAAAAAAAATTATTTTGAATGATGATGATGATGAAAAAAAAGTTATCAAAAAACTTTACTTTTATTTCAGAATAAAATATATTTTTAATGTGAGTCTTAATCAACAAACATGACATATATACTTATTTTTATAGATAAGATAATGAATCCTTTATATCCAAGTAAAACTTGCTCTTGGTCAATTTAGCCCAGTTGTTTAAAAATCAGCCATATTTTTTTTTCCTTCTTACATAAAGGCGTCCAAAATTATCCAATTATAATAAGTATTATATTTGACTAACCCAATTGTGAATCATGTTTTAGTCAGAAGCCTTAAACCATCATAGAATATACCTAGATTATTCAAAAATGTGGCTAAATGTTTTTATTTTTATATTTCAGAGTAATGGAGCATGCATTGACCTCACCGGAGACATTAGTGACAAACACACAGACAGATATAGATAAAATGTTCTCCGGATTAGGCGTGGACTCATTCTCATTTAATAAACCAGAGAAACATGAACCGACCACAACAGTGCCGGAGAGAAGTTCATTGAGTATTGAAGACAAACAGAGGTAAGTAGTGTAGATATGTAAAAAATCTTTGTAATAATAATAATGGAAGATAAAAAAATAAGTCATTATATGCTTCATAAAGTTTGTATAATATTAAATAAGGTTTCTATATATTTTAATTAACTTTATATTAGTAAGATTTGTTTTAATCTGTATGTACATATAGAAACAATGATCAAAAGTTTTTGTATGTTTAGTAATATTTTGCTAATAGTCTTTATTTTTCCTTTCCAGAATAGCGCAACATCAAGAGACATCTCGTAAATTTAACAGACAAACTCCCTCAGCGATTCCAACGCCATCTATCGTCCCTCTACCACAACCTCCAAAACCCGTTGACTTAACAAACACATTACTACAGTCCAATCTCAACCAATTGACTACAAAACAGTTTCAAGTCACAAATAACACTAATTCTCTCGCTAATATGACATCCAGTGCAGCCAACACGAGTACACCAAATTATAATCTCAATATAGGAAGTCCGATAGGCTTCGGGTATCAAAACCAATCGATGCCATTTGATAATCAATTGGCATTACCGCCTAGCACTGGTTGGACAAGCCCAAACAGTGCTGCCAACACAACATTTGGAAATCAAAGTGCCAACTTCAATAACAAATGGGCGAACAATCAAAGCAATCAGAATAATATGAAGCAGGACTGGTCAGCATTTGAATCTCTGTTACCGAGCCAGACTAAGAATAATTCTAGCAATAATAACAATGTAAAGAAATTAAGTGACAGCGAAATGATGGATTTGTTAAGTTAATATTAAAAAATACATTTCGGAAACTATATAAGTGTCACTTGTTTAAAAGAGATTTAGCATTTTTTCTACTGAATAAAACATGATAACTTGGATTTATATAAATAGTTTGTACTATTTAATTTAAAACAATTTCTATATTAGTTCAGGTTGGTTTTCACACTATATACTGAAAATTAAATTTTACATTCATATTCACACATAATTATTATTAAAATTTATTTTGAGCTTAAAACGAAAAAACGTATATAGTGACGATGCAGAAACTTAGTAATGTTAAATTTTTTGGTAAATTACTATAATATGGACTGATTTAAACTTTATTTAGTATGAAATTGTTTAGTCAAATCATTTTACATATCATGTGCTTAAATCCAACAAAGACAGGGATACATTTTGTTTGTAACATTCCTAATAGTATTTTTATTTAAATCCAATACGGATACCAATTTATCGAATCATAAAATTAAGTTTAGAAAATATATATTAATTTATTTTTGTATAATTTGATGATATAAAATATTACAAAAACACTTAATTATAATTTATCAAAAAAGTATTATGTACACTAAGTTAAGATACTCGGTTTGCGATTGTTTCTACAAATACTATTTGACATAAATGCGAAAATTATTGTATTACTTATACTATGTACCAGAATGTTTACGTTACATTATTGTAAGCGATCTCTTAAATAATAAATACATTTAATGGTAACTTGTTTCAATTAAATACGTTTTTTCCTAACAATACAATGGCAAGTGGAAAGAATTTATATCAAACCATAGCACTATCTCCGTCTTCTAAACGACGCGGCAAAAAACAAACAGCCTGTCCCAGTTTGTAAAAGACTGGCTATGAAAAAACATGTTCTGTATTCGTAATTATAAACGAGAGACCATATCATTATGAAAATAGCGACAATTGCATTCGCGGTTGTCATAGTGGCAATTGTGTCAAAGTCATTTAGCGAATTGTATAATGGTTGCTGTAAAACACTTGAAGCGGCCGTCGCGAGACTTGCCAGTGTACACCACACAACCATGAAGCTTTTACTGGATGATAGAGTTATACCTGAAATTAAATTAGGTTAAATAAATATTAATTATATAAATTCGACAACAATAATTAATATACTTATTAATGTTTTATATTCTATTAAAAATTACACAAGTCGCTGTTGTGTTCAACGCTTTCAAATACTTGTAATCAATTAATTTTAACATTATTACTGTCTTTAATAGCTGTAACAGAGTCTTCACTGTTTTATTCACTCTTACCATAAAAGCCAACAGCCCCAATCAAACAGAACACAGTACAGAGACGCGCCTTCTCGTTGATGTTCTGAGGCAGCGCAATGATCAGAATGATGAAACAAAACGCGCCACTGTAAGCTACAGCTGATGACACCGACACCTACATTAAAAAACATCTTTTATTCTGTATGTAATGATAGAAACAATAAGATTTTTAATTCTTTACATTAATTTCGAACAAAAATTCCTTGGAATAAAAAAAATTGGTTGTTTGCAAAGTAGGTTTACGATCGAGATGTTTACGTGATAACGTCTTATTGGTGATATAAGTTTTTGGGAAGTAAGGAATTAATGAAGGTAACAATTTTTTCAAATTTTAAATTACATCTATCGTTTTATTCACACTTTTGATGATAAATTTTGGGTGTAAAATGACAAGTTAAACATTCTGTTAAACATTCAACGAAAACTTAACCGCACGAGAAAATCTCCATTCGTTTGTATGCCGCTCGAGTGAGAGAGACGGAAGATCGGTCCACTCACTCGAACGCTATGCCTGCCTCCGCTCGTGAGGATTCCGCGTGACAAGTTTCACGGAATGACTGGCAGCGCTCGAGATGAGACGGGAGATCGGTCCGTCTCTCTCTCGTTATACCTGCGATCGCGCTCGTGAGGTTTTGGTGTGACACAAGTTTCTGAACATGTCACCCGACTAAAACGATTTTAAAGACGTTATCACGTCAAAATGAAACTGTTATATATAGTGTACAAAATGTTAAAATGTCCACTCACCGACCATATATTCATACTCGGATTGAGCTCCCATAGCATCGACGGGAAGAGCAACCCAAGAATTAGAATTGAGAACGTCGTACACAGATGTAGAACTGTGTACAAATAGAAATTGAAATCTAGCAACATATTAACAACGGTTATGAAGTTCTTTTTCAAGGAGGCAGTTCGTCTGGCTGTTCCTGGAGTAACATCTGATGTGAAGACCAAACTGTTTGAAGGAGCATTCACAGTTGTCTCTCTATATAACGGCTGCGGGTGTTGCTCCCTATCAATATTCTCCAACTCCTGATATCCGTTGATACGGCTGTAGCTCATCACGTCCAAATTACCAAAATCGGAAGAAAATCGATTCGGCGTTTCGAACATCGTACTAAAATCGGTTGAGAACCTCATATCTCTGCTATTTTCCCGTTGCTCTACTTCTGGGTCGATTATTTCTCTTGCGTTTCTGTTAGATTTGAATACAACCACGTCATTTGCATCTTCATCTTGAACGGAAACCGGATTCTCCGATGACACTTCCACTCTCATATCACGGCTTCCTGTTGGTCTTTGGGATCTATCAGCAGTTTGGTTGGAGAAAATTACATCATCTTCATCTTCAACCGCCCGAATCATATTATAGGTCGACCTTATAACTCTTTCTATATACACTGGTCTGGTATACGCGGCCAGGAAGAAGCAATTCTGCATCAGTAATGCTCCGTATATCATGACAACCACATCAGCTGTATACACTGTGCAGAGATACCCAACGAGTAGACATGATAATACATTTCCAAGAGACGGAGCCATTCGTACCAGCCTCTGAGTAGTGGTGAGCTTATCTCTGAAGTAATGGGTTATAAGCACGTCAGTTTGCTGTCCGGTTAAAGCGGACCCAGCACCTAAAATATTTATATTAAAGTTTTAAAATAACAGTCAACGTAAAATTAAAAATCTTTTTTAATTCTCTATTTAAAAATTCTTCACAGTTACATCTTTTATTTGCTTTGTATATGTATATTTGTATAATTTTGTAATATACTCGTATTATACATTGAAATTTTATAATTGTGTAATAGTTAAAAGTCTATTTTAATTTTGCCAAACGAGTAGAAGCAAAGGACTTAATTTGTGTATAAACAAAATATAAACGTGTTAAATAATGTACTTATAAAAATAATATTTTTAAAATGTGAAAAGGCTAATGTAATATTTAAATTTGTCATTCAGTTTCCATAGAAGTTTTATGTTTCAAGTGACCTTGGTTAACAATACAATGTAATTAGACATTTACAAAACAATACCATACGTTAATTGTATTGTTATAACTTACCAGCGAAAATTCCAGCAAATATATTTACTATATGATCGTTTTCGTACACATTAGTTGAATAACTGGAAAGTAGAATCCCTGCAATGGTCAAACACAATCCAGCCAGGGCAGTAAATCTCGGCATATTAAATATTTTCACAACAGCTCTGCACCATGACTCAAGTAAAAGTCTTATCACAATCATAATAACTGGAATTAACGCTAAGTCCTGATCCCATATCTTCATTTTTTCACCCTCAGCGTGATCCTCTTCACGTATTGACTTTAATATGACCAGTCCATATAATATAATCACTGTAGGCACAGTTACATTGTATATAATTGCTGAAATAACTATCATCCAACCGTATCCTCCATCAGGAGGGGTGGGTCCGATCTCAGGTTGGGAAGCGACGACCCTATCCAAATGTAAATCTTCCACCCCATTTTCAATCCTCTCTCTTCGATTATTTTGTTGTGTTGGTTCCTCCATAGTTTTTAGAAATAAACAATCACTTCATAACTAATATATTCTGATCATGAGTGATGTACGATACTAGATACGAGCGTGTTATCTTATCATTATCTTTTCTTCTAATCTTTGTTCCATATATTTTGAATTAGCCGCTTTTAAATCGCAATATAATAAACGCTAGTAAAATATTTATATTTTAATAACAATCGAAGTTTCCTTTATAAATGAATAAAAAATAAGTACAATTCTTTTTTTTTAAACTTAGAGAATTTAAAATATTTAGTTTAATAAAAAAATATAATGTATCTGACACAGACCACCAGTTTCCGAACGTATATTATACTATAAATTTCAAGAATCTATTTTTTAAACTGTAATTTTAGTAAGGAATAGCACTATACACAAGACATGAATAGGAGAGAGATAGCATGTCATTTGTTACACGAATTGATGACACTTTCATATTTCGTCGCATAACATTCAACATGAAATCGTTAGGTCGACACCTGTGCTCGGCGCTCTAATTAGAAAATCCCCATAAATATCAATAATGCAACGGTAATTCACTATTTAGTTCGTTTCACAAATGTTTTCTTTACCGTGCCGTGTCACAAAATCGGTTATAAATGTTCACTTGTGTAAATATGTGTCGATGCCGAAGTACGAGTGAAGCATTTTAATTGCTCCGTTTCAGTGATTACATGGTGGATCATTGCAGGTTAAAGACTCATGGGTAGAGTGAGGGTGTCTGTGAACTATAACTATGGAGACTGAGAGCGTGCGGTCCGAGGTGAGCAGCCGGTCCCGGCGCAGTTCAAGACATCGTCAACACACGCATAGAAGCACTCGGTATGTTTACTTAATAATCTCGAGCATGCTAGACATTCCTCCGTTATTAAACAATTTGTATTCTATTTATAATCCAACTGCACCACTTGTGAGAATTGTGTTATGAATACTGTAAAAGTTAAATCAAAGTTAGTTATAACGGTAGTTGGTTGAAAATATATTCAATAACAAAATACCTTTGATTCCGGTTGTAATTGCATTTATTTCACGAAACTATTACACGTATATTAAACCAAAATAAATTACGAAAATTTATCAGCTTACTTATCACTGAATCATTTAACACACAAATAGATATTTTAACATATATTTTAGACTGATATTACCAAATTATTAGAATTATATACTGCGCGAGTTACAAACGTAGGATGTTGGCATTAAAGTATTTTGTTTATAACTAATAATTTGAATATCTCATAATGACTATTTCAATTACTTAATGATTTCTAAAATTAACCCATTCAAACTAATTACATAGCAGAGTATAGAATGTATATTAAAAATATGTGTAATAGATTCTTTTTTAATGAATTTAGAGGGATTTTTGTGTAGTTAATTTTATCAAGTCTCGAATATATAAGTATATAATATGATTTTGTATGGTATGAAATAAAATTGAGATAATAGTCTTGTTAAGAAGACTTTAGACTGTATAAGGATAATTATGGTTGTAATTCATGGAAAGACAAAAATTTATATACAGTGTAAACTCTATATAACGACACTGAAGGGACTGTGCATTTTATGGCATTATAAAGAGTTGTCGTTAAATAGAGAGAAGAAAAATCAGAATTAGAAAAAGACAAAGTTTATTTCAGACTAGTGTTAGTACTTATGTACATAAAAAAGAATGTTATTCAAATGCTATTGCGTATAGTCTGTTATTTTTGTTTGATGTCTTTTGCTGCACCAGTAATGTTGTTGTATTATTTTACTTATTTTATTCATATCTTGCGATATTGAGGCTTCTTAGAAAGTTCGGTTGCATGATTCCGACAGTCGACTTTATTGCGGACTAGGATAACAAAGCGATAAAAGAAAATACAGTTTTACTAATTTTAGCAACTTAAAAGGTACTTTTTATTACTTAATTGTTGTTGTTATGGAGAGTGGGTGTTATCCTATGTAGAGTGTATCATGTTATGGTAGAAAAGCTAAACCAACCAAAGTCAAATGATTTCGACGCTTTAGAGAGTTTGTCGTTAAATTGAGTGACATTATATGGAGTTTACACTGTATATTAGTAGATATGTAGTTATGTGAAATACAGGAGTCACTAAATATTATATCTTCTGATATTAAGTAAATGCTGATTGCTAAACAAATTAATCAATGTTCACAATGCAGGCCTCACTTAGTGTTGAAGTCAATGTATATTGTATACTTGTAAATGAATAAATTAAATAAATATGTTATTATATTAATAATTGTCATTATTACTAATTACAAATTAATTATTCTGTTGGTTTCATTTTAACTTTTATCATGATATATTATTTAGAGTGGCAATATTGCCTCGTTGACTATTACATGGCTTCTTAAAAATCTGTATGTCAAAAAGAAAAATCTTTATTTTGTCTTAATTAACCCTATTTATTTTATATTTTTATATCTCTTGGCAAAACTTATAATATACCATTTTAATTCAGTACATTTGCATTTTGTTTGTGGATTCTACCATTTTTATTTGAATTTTTATCTATTCCTATTTATTGTTGCCTAACAATTATATTTTGTTTTCTTCAGGAGTTCAAAATCTCAGAGAAAGGAGTCTGATAATATGATGGCGCCGTTTCAAACGAGTGTTAATATCAACCCTGAAACGGGGAGAGACGGCCAGGAAGTTATTGAAGTACAAATATTACCGCAGGATGAGAACTGGGGCGAGAACACTACAGCGGTCACCGGAAATACCTCGGAAGGCTCTCAATCCATGGAGGATGTCAGCAACTGGCCCATAGAAGCCGATAGCGGCTTGGGTTTTGTGTGTTCAAGATATTTCTCGACCACAATAGCTTTAGGATTATCGTTGGTCTCATTCGTGAGTCCGCTAGCCATGGTTGTGTTACCTAAACTAGGTTTCTTTCCAGGTTTAACCGATAACCTGGCATTACAGCCGAGTCAGAGGATTCAATTATTATCGTGTACCGCAGAATGCAAGGGCATATTGCTGTCTTTAGCGTTTAAATTAGTTTTACTGGCGATAGCTGTTTGGGCTGTATTTCTACGGCCACGGAACGCGATTCTGCCGAGGATATTCGTATTCCGCGCCATGATGCTAGTTATTTTGGCGGTCTGTTCGTTTTCCTATTGGCTGTTCTATTTCGTCCAAATTACTGAAGCGTCCAAAGCGTTGACTGTCGGCGAAGAAGCCATGGACTATACTTCTCTGGTTTCGTATTCGTCAAGTTTTTCTGATACGCTACTGTTCATACATTACGCTGCGGTCGTGTTGATGGAAATAAGGCATCTGGAGCCTGTGTATTACGTGAAGGTTGTGAGAAGTCCAGACGGCGAAAGTAGATCCTACGCCATCGGACAATTGAGCATTCAAAGAGCAGCTGTTTGGGTCCTACAGAAGTATTACACGGAGTTTCCTATATACAACCCGTACCTGGAGAAGATTCCCATATCAAAATCGCAGAGGAAAGGTCAAGGCAGTATAAAGTTCTATGAAGTGGATTCTAATACAAATGCGCCGTCAGGGCAAACGAGGTGATTACTTTCTATGCTTAAACGCAATGATAAACATGATATGATATTAAATGTATTTACTAAATAGTTGTGATAGATCATAAATTACAAATTTTGCGGGAAAATTATGCTTAATAACGGAATTAAAGTATTCTACAGGGTGACTGGTGAATTACTATCGATATTTGAGGACGTGGTATTTGACGATCATATATGACAAAATAAAAATTAATATAACATAAATATTAATAAACTTCTAAGTAAAGTTAACCAAAAGTTGTGTAATTAATTACGCATCGTATGAACACCCTACAAATTAGGTATACACACACACTCACACAGACGCGGCGGCGGCGTAGTGTTGTATCAGCACGCCGCCGCACGCGTCCACACTTGGAACACTTGGAACGTGTACACACTTTATTTATTTATACGGAAATTTGGTCAAAAATTAAGTACCTATTTTTTTTACATAATTCGAATGAGAATCATGTACCGAGTATGCTCCTTAAATATTGATAGTAATTCACCAGTCACCCTGTATAGTAATTCATTATAATAACTTTGTGTTTTTGTGTCTGACTATCAAATTATAAGGTTGACATAAATGTGAAAAAACTAAAGCAGTGTTTAGTTAAATATTAAATGCAAAAAGATTTCATTTATAGTATAGCTGCACCCCGCGGTGCTACCTGCGGATTTCCGAGACTTTCGGTATGTAAAGTAAGCTTATGTGTTATTCCTGGACGTCAGCTTACTGTATACAAAATTTTATCAAAATCGGTTCAGCCGTTTGAGCGTGAAGAAGTAACAAACATACACACACTCAAAAACTTTCGCAATTATAATATTAGTAGGATATACTAATATATAATACTTTTTAGATCGGCGAGTGGTTCCGTATCAGGTCGACGTAATTCTCACAACGAGCGTTACTATGAAGAGGCTGAACGAGCTCGAAGAGTGAGGAAGCGAAGGGCCAGGTTACACTCAGCGGCTGAAGATGCTTTTGCTCACGTACGACGAGTGAGGCTCACGGCTGCTGGAGGTTAGTTAATATAGATGAGATAGGGAGATCTATCTAGACATTTTATACTATAAGTTTTACTTTTATGCTACCGTCTTCTAGTTATTAATATGTTTAAGTTACCTGTGTAATCCTATTTTTTTTTTAATTGTATGTTATACAGGGTGACTCGTGAATTACTATCAATATTTAAGGAGAATACTCGGTACATGATTCTCATTCGAATTATGTAAAAAAATAGGCACTTAATTTTTGACAAAATTTCCGTATAAATAAATAAAGTGTTGACATGTTCCAAGTGTTCCAAGTGTGGACGCGTGCGGCGGCGTGCTGATACAACACCACGCCGCCGCACGCGTGTGTCGCTACCCCCAACCCCCGCCACGTGGCTAATTAGTCGGGCGAGCGCCGCCGTAAGGTCTGTACGTCCGTCTTCCCGTGCGCTCGCCTAGCGATCGATCTTACGCGTGTTCACACGATGTAGGGTTTTCACACGATGCGTAATTAATAACATAACTTTTGGTAAACTTTACTTAGAAGTTTATTATTATTTATGTTATATTAATTTTTGTTTTGTCATATATGATAGTCACATATCACGTCGTCAAATATCGATAGTAATTCACCAGTCACCCTGTATAATAGTTAATATAGAGACTATGTATAAAAACTGTTGGATTACCAAATAAATAATAAATAAAAATAAAATAAAAATTCTCCTCTGCCCGTGATCATGGTTGCTAAGAAGTAGCCGAAACGTCGGGAGTATGTAGTTTTTTACAAAAATATAGCACGTGTAGTAAATTCCATAAATATTAGTTTTATTTGGTTAAGTTAGGTTAGAAAATAGGTCATTTGATCTACTTTGTACGCAACTCGGTTGATGGGACTTAGAAAGTAGATCCTGTACCCATAGGACATTTTGCTTTTGGTAAAAGGGCAGACAATTCTTGAAAGAGATTGTGGAAGAGCGGAAATAAACGGAGAAGCCTTTCAGATATTTTTTGTGTTAAGTAACGGTAGAAATAACTATTACTATGTATTCTCAAAAATATGACAAATATTTTAAAAGAACAATTAGCAATTCAATCTAACATTTTAACTACCTACGATTCCTTTCCATACTTCGTGTAACCTTAAAGACTGATTTATACACTTACTACTATCTACTATACTCATTTGGGACTATTTTTGATGTTAAAAAATTCATTACACTTAAGATATACAGGGTGACTGGTGAATTACTATCGATATTTGAGGACGTGATATTTGACGATCATATATGACAAAATAAAAATTAATATAACATAAATATTAATAAACTTCTAGGTAAAGTTAACCAAAAGTTGTGTAATTAATTACGCATCGTGTGAACACCCTACAGATTAGGTATACACACACACTCACACATACGCGGCGGGGGCGTGGTTTTGTATCGGCACGCCGCCGCACGCGTCCACACTTGGAACACTTGGAACGTGTCAACACTTTATTTATTTATACGGAAATTTGGTCAAAAATTAAGTACCTATTTTTTTTACATAATTCGAATGAGAATCATGTACCGAGTATGGTCCTTAAATATTGATAGTAATTCACCAGTCACCCTGTATAATATTAAATTAAAGTAATATAACATTTTTACTTCAGGTGGAGCCCTGGGACCTCGTGAGGCGGCCCAAGCAGTATTCCCATCACTAGCGAGGGCGTTACAAAAGTACCTCCGAGCAACGAGACAACAACCAAGACATTCAGCTGACTCGGTAGGTTGAAGAAAACTTAACTTTTATATATAAAATTATTCCAGTATACTGTGTATTGTTTATATTTATATTTTAAAATGTACATATAGCACATAAGAGTTCTGAAAATGTAACTGGGAAAGGGTTGTGCTGGGTTAAAAGTTAAAGGCCCGCCTCTCGTACAAGAGGGCGCTGGTTCAAAACCTGGCAAGTACCAATGTGATTTTTCCGAGTCATATGTACTTTCTAAGAGCATTTAAATACCACTGACAGACGGTGAAGGAAAACATTCTGAGGAAACCTGGACTTAAAATATCAAATTATAAGTTTGAAGTAACTATCCCGTTTTGAGCAAGTGTGGTGATTAATGCTCAAACCTTCTCTATGTGAAAAGCCTTTGCTCAGCAGTGGGCTCTGATAGGCTGATGAACTAAGAAGACATTAAAAAGTCTTCAATATTCTTCACATATTATCCTAAGTGCTTATCATTCTACCTCTAAAGTAATATTCTTTCATTCCAGGTGTTAGCACATTTGGCTCGCTGTCTCTCCCAAGATGCATCACCCCGAGCCTTTCTCGAACCATTTCTAGTTGAAGGTCCTGTATTATCAGCAGAACAGGAGTCAAGAACCCTCCAACGCTGGGCCCTAGTATCTGATGACCTCCTCGCAAGACCATTAGCTGACGGAGTTGAATTCCAACTAAGACAGGGAGACGTTTCATTGATATGTACAATCAAGAGTTTACCTAGGTTTAGTTTATCAGAGGAAGTGGTTGATCCAAAAAGCAATAGATTTGTATTGCGGCTTAATTCAGAGACATCTGTTTGACAAGGGCCTAGGCTGGTGTGACCAAGTGAATTTCTGGTATACACGAGCTGGAATTTTCTATTCATCTGCATATTATATCCTAGATTGGACTATTGAAGGTTTAAATCTATTGGAGGCTATGCCTGGCTATAGGTTAGGCAATATTAGACTACATTGTCAATGGTTTAAATGCTCCTAATTTTGTTCCTCTCATGAAGATTTTAACCATAGCCTGTTTAAAGACAAAGTTCATTCCTTCGTTATATAAGCAGGAGTGTGCACAGAGAGTTAGGGTAATCAGAACGTAAGATAACGTAATGAGATCTAAGTCTTATATGAGTATTCATTTAAATGATACTAATATTTTTCGTATTTAACGACTAGCTTTTGCCGCGACTTCGTCCGCGTGGAATAGTGACTTCCGGCAGATTTTTGGTTCTTCCCACATAGTTCCCGTTCTTGCGGGGTTTTCGGAATGGTCGAGTTCCCGTAGAATTTCCAGGATAAAACCTATGTTTTTTTAATTCACAATGAAGTACTCTTAACCAACAACATATTTATTTGTTTATTTGAATAAAGATTAATATTATTATGTTGATACAACTTAAACAAATTATTTCGACCAAATTAGGTACCATAAAAACGGTTTTTGTGAGTTAATCTTAAAAGATAGACATATACTGTCGCGGACTGTTTATTAGATCATCAAAAGATCTATTATTCTTTAATACATATTTTTTGTGTATCTTGAAATGTTTTCACGGCACACGCAACGAAAGGCTTCAAAGACGAAATAATTTCTCCCGTTTTTTACACATTTACCACTATATCTTTGCTCCTATTGGTCGTATCGTGATATTATATACCCCACAGCCTTCCTCGATAACTGGACTATGAAACACAAAAAGAATTTTTCAATTCGAACCAGTAGTTTCGGAGATTAGCGCTTTCAAACAAACAAACAAACAAACTCTTCAGCTTTATAATATTAGTATAGATATAGCCTATAGGTAACTGTTTTATAAATTATTATTTGTGTGTATAATGTGCACGCTCCTGCATATATTCTTATGGTTATATGATCATTCAAATATTGTGGCTTCTCTAGCATTTCTTATTATAAGGACACTATTATTATCCAATGACAAAATAGTTGACTGCGTGTAATTTGGCAATCGAAAAGATGCCTAGAATTTTTAACTGTCATAGGTACGTTTGCTTCCGAGTACACTTGCGAGAACTTAAATGGGACCCGTTATTTTTGTTATTTTTACGAGGTTCTATTATTGATAAGCATCAAAAGTGACCACTTTTCGTTGCATTAAGTGTACATGCTCAAACTTATCCCCAATACACCAAAACCTTGTCAAATACGTGCCGGCAACTGTAATATACTTATTAAGTAACTTTTACTTAGTAAATCTTGATTTTTGTTTGTGGTAGCTTAATTAATTAATTTCGTGTATGTAAAAACTTAATGAATCAAAAATAATAGTAATATTTAGTGAATTGGTGCAGACTTAATAACTCATACTACTTTTAAGAGACTGAATTTATACCTGTTTGAATGAACAGAATACTCACAAAATAAGAATCTCAATTTACAAGCCATTTGTAAAAGACTTAAAAGCATTTATACTGTACATTTGTGTCATACAATTATTATAATAAATATTAAGATAACAGCACAAATAATTATAATAACTTAAATATATGTATTACTCATTGTATTTATGGTTTGAAATGTATTAGTAATGATATATATATGTATATATTAAATCATTAGTTTATATAAGGACAACTTTGTTCATTACTGATTATTATAGAGATTAAAAATATCACATTCATTGTGAATCATATCACACAATTTTGTGATAATGTAACAACATTGATACTGGACGGTTTTATTCAATTTAACGAACATAATGTTAAGATCATATCATTTATAAGTATTTATTAATGGAGTCCTGTGTAATTTGGATATTTTTAGATCTTTTTGGAGGAATCTTTAGTAATGTAAGCTATGTAACATTAGTTATTGAGTAACAGCTTTCATTGTACTAAATTGACCAAAGATTCTGTTCTGATAGGAATTAATTTGTGAAGGGGGTTAAAAAAAACAGTGATTTTGAAAATTAAGCATATTTATTTGTTATAAAAACATTTTCTTTGGTAAATCTACTATTTGTCGATTACAGTTCTTTGTACATTTGTAAGGAAACCCCCGTTTCATAGACTGATAATGTCGCATTGCTCAAGTCGCCTTGTAAAACGCCTGTGCCTGCTTACTCTACGTTAGAACTAATAACTAGATTATAATAAATAGTACAATGACGTGGGATTGTTTTACACCCAGTCTCAAATGACTAGAAGTAAAATTATTATACGCGAACATTTCATAACATCAAAGTTTTAGATAAAATATATTTTCTTTTATAAAATATTTGTGACGTAATACGTATTTAGCACAAAGGCTTAGCACAAATTGTAACCGTGAAACGTTTTGTACACTTTTGTATTTTATAAATATATAAAGTGGATTTTGGTTCGTGTTTCATTTTCAGTCATATTTCCCATATATCACATTTTTAAGTGTCTATATGTTTTATAGACTATAGGTTATTATTATAAATAACAGGTAACCCGGAATATCCGCCCGCGGGCGCGTACATGCTGGTTAAAAATGTGAATTTAGGTATATTTCTAGAAGAAAACATGAACACCCATAGAGCGACAGCTGTCAACGTGACACACAGACAGATGACAGCTATAACGACACCGGTCCGACGGCTGTCTGCCGAACATGTGAAGTACCTCTGGTTGAGATCCATTATCTTGGCGTTCATTAAGGATTTTGGAGTGTAACATCTGTAAAAAATGTAAATAATTATATATCTTATTAAACTGTTTTATATAATTTTATAAATTTATTTAAATCATCTAAAACGCTAGTATGAAAAAAAAATCCGTAAAGATATCCATTTCAATAAGTCCAAACGAAATCAAGAAATATTTTCTCTTATTTGAAACTGAGTGTCAGTAGTAAGTAATGATTCTTTGTTATTTAGGTTTGTCAATAAATAGAAAAAAATAATTCTAAACTAAAGTTCATAAGTATAAATTAAACATGAGAATAACTATTCTAAGTTATGGAAAAAACGAGTTTTCTATAGAAAGTCTACTTTTTGAACAAAAGATATTTACTCCTACAATAAATCAACATTATAATGGAGAAGTGATCTCAAACAGCTGTGTATACGTCACTGTTTGTCTTTTACGACTTTATGTGGTTTTAATACTCATTATCTTTGTTTTAAGGTTGGTAAATGGCTAAACATAATTAAACCATGAAATTTAACCAAATTTTTGGACTGCCTTTAAAATTCACATAATTTCTTTAAATACAAGAATTATGTAATGTGAATAGTCTTTGTCGGTCCATTAAGCAATATTTTATTTGTTTATATTTTTTATCTAAAATTACCTTAAATGCACCGAATCCTCTGGTTGCATTTGGAACTGTTGTAACCAAATTAAATGGCAATCACAATTCCAATAGTTTCCTTGTAAATCTAAACGTATTAATTGCCCGAAAGGCACTTCCAATCTTTTATCAAGGGTCGTCAATCTGGATCCTCTTAAGGATAATTTTTCTAGCGTAAAGTCATCAGCATCCTCTAAGACTTCCTGACCAAACGCCATTACGCTGAAATTAGTCAGTTTCATATTCCTTTCCAATTCCAAACTCGTCAACGAATGCAACGAAGCGAATGCAAAATCTGGTATTTCTTTTATATTCAAATTATTCAACTTCAATTCTTTCAGCGCTGATAAATCAGCGAAGTCTTCGCCAGCTATAATATCGATCGGGTTGTCTGACAGATCCAAGTATTCTAAAGTAAAAGGTAGTTCGAAAATTTCGTGTATGTTATTATTTGATATCGTGAGCCGTCTCAAGTCAAATGCGTCAACGAAAAAGTTTTCATGGACACGATCCAATTTAATGCCGCTCATTGAAAGAGACTGGATCTTGTGAGTCAGTCCGTAGCCGTTGCGATCGAATAGATTATTGTCATCTAAACTCGGCCCAAGATAATTGTTGTCTAAAATAATTTCTCTCAAATCTTCCAAGTGATGGAATGTGATTTTGTCGAAGGTAGTAAATTTATTATTCGCCAAATTAAGATACTCCAGTTCTTTGATGTATCTGAACGTATCTTTGTGTAGGAATTCCAATTCATTGTTGCTCAGATCCAATCTTTTTAACTTCTCTAGTCGCAGTGCGGAAGGCGATATTTCTTTGATTGCATTATCTCTAAGCGACAGTTCGGTTAGTGTATCTGATTGCAGTAATTTCGAAGGTTGTACACTAGTTATGTTGTTTCTCGATATATCTAAAGTGTGCGTCGTGAGAGGTAACTCGTAGTCTTTATTAAGCACTGTACGATCGTAGGAACAAGTCACAATTTCGCCGAACAGATCTCTGTCACTTTTATTGTTGTGCCGACACACGCAATATTGACTCTCACACACGTTAGCACTTTCAACCTTAAGACAGAAGGCTATTAGAACGTAAATAATGTTAATATTTTTCATATTTCCGACCTGTTTAGTCTTGTCTCTACAACACACTGCCAGGTCGCGCGTTATCACGACAGATGGCCACTATCAGTGATAGTTGATACACATTCAATTGTCATTTCTTTGTTTATCGTTTGAAAGTAGGTGAATCATATCATTCGTTTACCTTCTGATTTGTACAAAAAATATGTCTGATAAGATTATGTACGACAAGTCAGTGTTTTTTATACAAATTAATAAATTAAAATATAATAAAGTTATCTAGCTACACCCATTTGATTATAAAGCAATTAAATATATATGATTTAATAAGTATTGTTTCTGTTATATTTGTAAGTATTCATTCGTTTTAACTCTCGTCCTTGGTAAGTATATGAAAACGTAGATCCATATAAGTGTGACGATGAGTAACAACGTGTACAAAATTAATCCCAAGGTGACGGCCAGTTCGTAAACACCTTCACTGGATCTTATAGTTTTGGGAACAGTTTGTTGTGGACACTCGAAGTCATGAGGCTTGAGATCCATAATCCTTATACCCTTGAAGTAAGATGGTGTCGCACATCTAAAAAAAACAACTTGAAAATAAGACGAACTTAACAAACATAATTAAATTTGAATTTTCTGTATTATTATTATATTTATAGCATAATCAATCCTACTAATATGATAATTGCGAAAGTTTGTGAGTGTGTGTGTATGTTTGTTACTTCTTCACGCTCAAACGGCTGAACCGATTTTGATAAAATTTTGTATACAGGAAACCTACGTCCAGGAATAACACATATTAGGCTACTTTACATCCCGAAAATCCGCGGGTAACACCGCGGGGCGCAACTGGCATTTAATATCTGTTAATGTGTCACGAATTGATAATTTTTTTTAGTTTAATTCCGTTTATCTAAGGATTTAGATTTGAAAGAATATTTTTCGACAGTCACTCATAACGTAGACCATAAATTGTTAAGAATAACGGTTTACTTAGACTTAAATATTGATATTTATAAATATTTCCGAGAAAAAGATGATAATAAGCTGTTTTAACTGCAGAAGAAATCGCGGGCCACTGCTAGTTTAATAACAAAATGCACGCTCAGCTATTAGTTTAAGCACGTCACTCGAGCGAGGTCGTTTTATGAACATATTGCAATACCAACATGAGATCATCTATATTGTAAATCTTAAACACTAATTACGTGATCTCACGAATTCTTCATTAGTAAATGAATGCGACAGAGCAGTTAAATAGATAAGACACAATCTTTATAACTCACATTAAAAATTAATAGAGTAATTTAATGATTATTTAAGTTTGGATTGCTACCAAAGAATTTTTTTATTCTATATTTTAAATTTTAATTCATACTTAAAATAGGAACATGTTTTGAGTAACTGTTTGGTGATATTATTCAACATTAGTATATATCTTAGAGTGTTTTATGCTATTAAACTATTTGCTACTTAAAAATGTATTGTATTAAAATTTATTTTTACGTAAACAAGCCTTGTTAGTCTCATTAGTTTGACATGCAGTTTCTAAAACAAATACTCTATAAGGCCTTACTTGAGTCCTTGGCTGAATATCAGAGGTGTGTTTAGTTTGAGGAACCAAGCTATTCTACAGTCGCAGTGCCACGGATTGTCTTGTAGATCCAACACTTCCAAGTGTTTGAACAGGACCCACAGCCTTTCATCCAATGTGGATAAATTTGAACTCTTCATAAATAATTTACGTGTTATAAAATCATAATCGTCCCTCAGAATATTAGAACCGAATGCTAAATGGGAGAAATTGCTCAAATATCTATTATTCTCCATTTCTATTTCATCGAATAGTCCCATAAGTCCATTCATTGAGATCTCTTTGATTTTCAAATTATTTATCTTAAAAACCGAAATAATCGGTGGATATGTCTGGTCGAACTCAAGCACTTCGATAGGGTTGTCAGACAAGTCTAGATACAATAATTGTTTTAAATAAGGTATTGTTGTTAGATTATTTCCTGAAAGACTCAGGTTAGTGAGTTTGTCGGCTTGCAAAAAATACTCTTTTCTTATATCTTGTAGATTAATTTTATTTAAAGATATACTTTCTATTGTAGTCGTAAGTCCACAACTGTTTGTATCGAAAATCGACGTGTTGGCTAGATCACTGCCAATATTATTATTATCTAGTACAATATCTTTCAAATTCACTAAAGGGCGCAAGTGGATTCGCGATATTTGTGTGAATTTATTATTAGCTAGACTGAGGTATTCTAATTTAATTAATTGGATGAATACTCCCGGCTGAATGACCTGTAGATCGTTGTCACTCAGATCCAACCTTTTAAGTTGTGGTAGTTGAAGCGATGAAGGTTTTATATCATTAATATGATTAAAATTCAATAATAATACCTCTAATGTATCTGATTTAAGTAATTCTGATGTTTGTAAGATTGTTATATTGCTTTTAGACAGGTTCAATGTGATTGTATCGTTTGGTAAGGATCTGTTTGAGGCCAGAGCTTTGTTACCGAGAAAACACTGAACGGTTTTGTTGCTTTCATCTTCATAACAATGACAGTAATCGTACTCACAGATATTCGCACTCACGACATAAACAAAAACGAATAAAACAATAATTTTATAATACATTTTGTTAAAAAATAGTTATAATTGTTTTAGTTTATTTATGTACTTGATCATTACATAATATGTTTGTTGTGACTTTGTTTTGTTCACTTGTCATTAATCGTGTTATTTTCATTGGATGTTACTTTATATCTCAAAGTACGGAAACGAGATAAGGAGCTAAGTGTGAGTGTATATAGAATAAACATTTATTTATTACAAATAAGTATACATAGTATGTCCCATAAATATTTGGGAATTAAAATTTTATTAAACTGATAAGTACTGATTCTATCAATAGAATGAATTTCGTGTATGAAATGAATCGCTTCACTTCGTTTAAAAATGTATTATTATCTGTTGAGGTTGACTTAAACTTAAGCTTAGTGTATTTGCACAAAATTATTCACGGTGTCGTTGATTCACCCACGCTTCTAGGCTCCATAAATATAAACATCAACTTTAAATTCCGACACCCCAGAACATTTAGCCTGGATGTTTATAATAACAATATCTCGTATCACAATCCTATCGGACGTATGTGTCGCGCTTACAATAGGGTCTCTCTTGAGGACGACGGGTTGGATGGTATCGACGTTTTCAACAGAAACCTAAAGCTATTTAAAAAACGATTGGTTTCGGTTAACAGCCAGGAATAGTGATCGAATCTATATTATTTGTTTATTTTTTTTTATTTTTCATTTGTAAGTGTGTTGTGTTACGTATTTTTGAGTGCTGATGTGTTTTTTTTTTCTTTTTTTATAAGTGAGATACTTTGTATATAATCTGTGTTCGCATAATTGTTGGATTGCAACTCAGTTCATTTATAATGTTTGCTCATTAATTATTCGCATATTTAGTTGTAATCTGTTGTGTGAACCGTTCAAAATAAATAAATAAATAAATAAATAAATAAAAGGTGATGTTATTAGGTAAAACTGTCTTTTCTTTACTTTAGAGTAGCGTTAACCCTCGTCGCAAACAACAAAGGTATTCACATAGTCCTAAAGTCACAGCTTGGACGCCATGCATTTTTAACCCTTTAACGGTCATAAGGAGTGGACAGTAGAAAAACGAAATTGATGATGGTTAAGGGTATATAATAGAAGTAAAAACATATGTATATATAAATACATATATATTTTTCAAACCTTTCATTGTCAAACTGTTTATTGACAATCAAAAAAATTGTCTGAATAAAAAAATACGAACGGTGGACGAAATTTCCGTTTAAAAAAAATAATATCATGGTGGTGAAAATATCGCCTCTAACTTCTAATGGGTTACAACGAACAAGGTAGTGTCGTAAGTGTTACTTCGAAACTTTATGTGGCAAAGATCTAGCATTCATTTACAATAGTGTTGCAGTTTCAAATTCCAATACTGGGACTTAGTTTTAACGAGAAGGCGCTAGTGTTGGTCGTCAATTTTCCCTTTAACTGTAATTTGTAGGGTTACATTATGTGTAAAATTATAAGAAATAAATCATTTCCGATCCAAAGTAAATTGAAGAAATATAGTAAAATATCTGGGGAGAAATGTTAAGCATTAAAGAAAGCACTTGATACGCAGTGATAGAAAATTTTAGTCATCATTTACGTGATTGAAGTGAAGTGACTTTTTTAAAATAAAATCCATTTATAAAAAATGTCTTCGTGTTAGTTTTTTGACAGTTGATCGAGTTATGGGACAACCTGTATAACATAACGTTTTTCATATTTTAGACCGTTTAGTATCTTATAAATTGAGTATCACAAAAGAATGAGTAAAGGAGTGAATAAAAAGAAACAATTTACTTAAAAACAGTATATTTTTATTTTTAATTAATTATATTTTTAGAAAAAACTATATCTTAATATTCTTAAAATCTGCTTCTCGATGTCTGTGAATTTCCCTTAGTGCCGGGGTCCTCGTGAGCCTAAAACATTTAAGAATATTATAAACAGGAATTACATAACAATTATATAAAGTCCAGTTTCGGCGAGATATTCTATTGTCTTTGGTTAAATCCAAACGCGACAGTTCAATTTACCAGTTGACATACATTCATTAAACAATTATTATTTATAGGGTTTAATTCGTTCTTTAAATTTCCTTTATAACGTCACAATAACTAAAACTAATAACATGCAGATGGGTAGGAGTATATACAGATTCCAGGTAAAATGTAACTGCAATGTGACCAAGTGATAGCAATATTTCCAGATGTTCCAGGTGTGTATGAACACACACACACACACACATATATACAGGGTGTATGAAAAACTGTGTCAACCCTTGAAGGCATGTATACATATAAGTATAAGCTTATTATAAAAAATAGTATAACTTAAAAAATATCAAGCAGACGTCAGTTACAGTGCATACGCAAATAAGTTTTAAATCGACATTATTCGAAGAAATGTTCCAAACATCTGACTCATACAAGGTCAAGACATCGTATAGTCGCAACGGCGCATGCGTGACCATTGACCGCAGGTGACGGGCCGCCGGCGTTATTATTACTATTCTGTTAGTTGTTCGAATAGAGATTTGAAAGTGTAAAAATTAGTTATATCGATAAATATTCTATCGACATTTTCAATATTGCTATAAATAGTTATGCTTTTCACATTAAAATAATTTCATTTAAAATAACTTTTATTAATAATAAATATTATAATTTGAAACTTTTTCAGGTAAATTAACTACATATGTTGTATTATTAGGATAAATCGTTAATCTATTTCTGTTAAAAATGGTGTTTTACAATCAAACATAATATTAATGTTTGATATATCAAAATAAGTATCGAAATAATACGAATATTAAATATTTATTTATTGTTATGATTTTTTAAATATCGATATTTTCAATAATGTGAAAGTAACTTCAAGGTCGTCACTAGTAGCGCGGCAGGTGTGATGACGTCATTGCGTGTCATCGTGTTATACCAGGGTTTACAAACATTTTGTTACTCTACATATAATAATCATTTAATATTTAATTTTATTATTTTTATTGAAGAGTTTGTAAATGTAAGTTGGTTTATTGTGTTACATTATCGATACTGATAACGTAGTTAAGAGGGTTGACACAGTTTTTCATACACCCTGTATATTTAGGATTCTAATAAAATCCTTATATAAATATAGTTTTCTTATTAAGCCAGTACTTTTAAATAACAATAAAACCTTAATTAGAGCAAAATAATTATAATCTTAAGCCAAAACACCTTAAATGAGTTATATTCTATTTACAATAATACAAGTCGTGTTCACAACACGCTTTCACGCGTCAAAAGAGAACAAGTCAAGCGTCATAGCTTTAATATCGCTTCGGATGCGTTCGGGAATATAAAGGTTCGGTTCGAATAAAAAGTGTGTTCCCTAAATATATACATAATTTTCCCTCTCATGTTAATGTAACTTGAACAGCTGGCAGCCCTATATCCAGGTGTCTGTGTCTGTCTGTCTGTCTGTCTGTATATATGTACGAGTATGTATGTATGTCTGTCTGTCTGTGTGTGTGTACCTTAATAACGATGCACGTCCTCGGCCCGGTGTGCCACAGCTGTCCCTCCTGGTCCACGAAGGCAGCCTCCACGGCCACAGTGTATAACCCCGGAGTACACACGCTCACCAGTTGCTGCGCTGAGAAGAAATCTCTCACGGGAGTGACTGTCTGCACAGCAGTTAGACTTGGAGGGATGTTTGTCAGCTCCACTGTCTGTATGGAACATATATATATACATTAATGAAAATCTAGATATAATATAACAAACAGGCGATGTATCAGAAGTAATGAGATCTAAGATTTTCGCGAGTACTCATTTGATTGAAACTAATATTTTCAACATCTCGTCTGTTCGTGATCGCAGTTGATGCAAAGTAAAGAAGTGTTCCTGAAATTATTTTCTAATTTTAATTATAACAATATTAAAAAAAAATTTTAAACCACTTTCATAGTAATATTGGATTATGTATTTAGCAAATATTAGATGAGCATAGTAGTTCATAGTAATCAGGGGTCTAATTAATTAAAATTGTTTATCACACTACCTTCTCGTTAGTCCGCGGGTGTGGTGTAGCAGTCACAGTAATCTGGACTCCTTTCACTTGACGCTTGTGCTTCTTCTTGCTGTTAAAAATATTAACTACATAAAAATCAGTAAAATTCAATATGAAGAATCATTATTTTAAGTATATCTTTGTATTTGTATGTTATTTAAAATTTATATCCTAAGTTTCAACTTTGAAATTGGGTTTAAAGATTCTCTTTTAGAAATTTATAACGGATAAAAAAATAAAATGATTACACAATGTAATATTAACGCCGTCTGCTTTAAATAATTGTAGGCTAGTTTTGAGTAAACTGTAATTTATCTTCTATTTCTATTTTTTAACTTCTTTATTGCAAAATCTTATCAGATTCTATTAAGTAGTTTTTTGTGAAAGAGTTACAAAACATACAGATACACACTCTGACTTCTCACAAAAATTTCTCGATCATGTTGTAGTATTACAGTGACTTGTATATTAAAAGTGTTTGAAGTGAAACTGCTAATCACTAATGCGACTTGTAACAAGGAGCGAGAGGAAATGAGTGGGTCAAATATGAATTGTAAGAATTATTTATAAAGTTTGTCTAAAAGAATATGACTTCACTTTATATTGATTTCTACATTCCTATTTCCATTTCAATATTACGTAGTACTTCCGCTCATGACTCTATGCACTATTTTATATATTAAATCATACAAGTATTAAGAGTAACAATCAGTGGCGGCTGGTGGGTTATCGAACTGGTGTTCACTTTACTAAAATATTGACAAAAACAACAATTGACATAAAATATGTTTATTTTTTGTACATAAAATCAATGCGACGACATTTTTCTGTAGCGAAATGTTCTATCACCTTTTTATTAAAATCTGGTATTTGTTCTATAAATTTCTTTTCAATACTAAGCACAGAAAGTGCATTTAGCCGATCCTGAGACATGGTATTTCTGAGAAAAGTTTTGATTCTTTTCAGTGTCGAAAAACATCGCTCGCTCTCTACTGAAGTCATTGGTATAGTATAGATGCTCCTTCATAACTATATCCAACTCTGATACATAGTCTATTAATCCACGAAACACTCCAGCATTACTGGACTCAATAGTTTCATCGTGACCTCGCAAAGCTAACTCAAATGCACCACAAAACTTGACACAATCGATAAGACGTGATAAAATGTATCTGTTTTTATCAACTTGTTTATTATACTTTTGGATATTACTTCTATACACAGAATCTAGCTGATTACGAATATCGACTGTGCCTAACACAGACAAACTCATTACATTTTGTAGGTGTACTTGTGAAGAATCGTGTTTTTTTTTATTTTTTCACTTAAATGCGTCAAATCCTTGATTCCAGTTTCTGTCCAAATCGATTCTCCGCCAAAAATAATGCAAGGAAAACAAAAGAATGCATTAAGACGCTCACATCCACACAACCATTTCTTTCTATTATACATTTCACTTTTAAAACTTCGTATAAATGCTTTATTTTTCGATTTACACTCTTGTTTTAAATTTAAAAAGGGCCGTGGCGGCCCGGCCAATTTTATGTTCACTTTACTTTGAAAAATTTTGTTATTTTCTTTAATATAATCAATATTTATACTCATTTTCAACTAATAAAAAACACAGTACAGAATAAAAGTTCTATTATAGAAACGAAATAAAAACCAAAACGAATTACGGAAATAATTATAAACAATAACGAATTAACGCGTCACGCATACAGTGAAAGTTGAAACAATACCAATAACGATTAACGAAATGTCAATCATAGCACCCATCCTTTCGGCCGGCCCCTTGCCGGCCGGCTCAATACGTCATACATCGGGTGCTCTCGGTAACCTTCGGCCGCTCGTGCGGCGCGCGAGAACCGACTCGTTACTCGGTGCATTTCTATGAACTATCTTTTGTCTCACGCGCCAGGCGTATTAATGCGTGTCTCATACAAGATGTATTAGCAGTCCTCGTTTATTATGAGTATTAACAGTCACATACCCGGGCGGAGGTAATAAGACTCCTTCCAGTTTAACAGCCAGGCGATGCGTCAGTGGCAGGGCGGCCGCGTGGTCGGCAGGGGGCGCTCTCGGCGCGGGGGACAGGGACACGCGGCAGGGCGCGCCGCCCGCCCCGCCCGCACACACCGCCCTCAGCCAGATGGAGCCTTTACACAGGGCGCGCACACCGGCCAACACGGCCTCCGCGTGCTGTAATATAGAACATATGATAATCAAAACAAATCTGCTTACGTAATACTTGAACGGCCCCATAGGAATGAGACAGTTCAGGTTATACTGGTCATGAGATCAAACGGTTCAATTTATACTGGACACTAATTATTCCAATGAACTGTGTTTTCTTTTAACTGACATCATAGTTATAACTAGGGCCCGGATAAATATGTATTAAAAAATCTAATATATGAACATAAAATATGGACGAATATTTCAAAAATATGGAAAAAATATGGAGTATAAAATAAAATACTTTCATAATTAAACATTGTTTTACTATAAGAAAAGGGTCACTCGTGACGTACGCCGTTAAGTTACATTTAAAAAACAATGAAAAAATAGCGAAATATTTATTTGAACAAAAAATATCAGTTTTATTCAACTTCCATAACACTAGCCTTATCAAATTGGTTACAATACACAATGACGTGCTTCTTTAAATTATCAAAATAAAAACTGACCATTTGGTTGAAATATAGCCTTATATCTGCTGAATGATCTCTCCACTCACATGACGTGATGGATGCATACTTAAACATGCTTAATTCAGTAATTGCGTAAGCCATGTCTACACCCCTGGAAACTTTGTTAATTTTTTTTAGCGTATTAAATCCTTTATTTTTATCCAAAATATTAGTGGCGGGAACGTAAGTTTTATGTATTTTTGTGAATATATGGATGATTGTGACATTTTCTTGTAAAATATGGACTTAACTTTGAAATATGGATAAAATATGGAAAATAAAAGCTGGTTTTTCATAGTCTAAATATGACAATCCATGTAAAAAACACATTCTAGACCGAAAATCGCGTAAATTAAAAATATGTATTTACATATTAATCCGGGGCTCTAGTAATAACTAACAGGTTCAATATAGCAGAGGACACACGGGCATATTCTGTATCGAAAAAACTCACACACAAGAATATAGTTCACTGATAAGTAATTTCATATACTTATTGCACATATAATTTTATTGTCTTTGTTAGTGTATGTGTGTGTGTGAGCGTGTCCGTGTGTGTGTCTCTCTCACCCTGTGCGTGAGTCCGTTCCCTGTGGCGGGGTGGTCGAACAGCTTGTCAGCGACTCTGGCCAGCTCGAGCGCGGGCGCCAGGGCCAGCGACTCCTCGAGACTGCGAGGATTCACCACCCGCACCTCCCACTCCTGGCCCGAGGTAATGCGATCAAGGAACTGAGACATGAGGCCGTACGTGTGCTGGGAACTGGCTTATTGTAAGGATATATGAAGGTTATTTGAAGTTTACTTGAAGGTTATTTGAAGTTTATTACTCAGTGTTGTATGCATTTGAAGTTTATTTGAAGGTTATTATCATTTTAATCTCTGTTACAAAGGATACATGTATAATAATCTGAGCGTTGTGTCATCAGCGTAGAACGACATTCTGGCGAGCGCGGCGTAAGATTTGGAGACAGCTGATAAAGCGGCCGAGGCGCGGCGAAGGGCGCCCGCACACGCGCCTGACTTAGACGCTGGGTCACGAGCAGCCTATAATAATAATCATCATAATCTGATAAGCCTATCAGAGCCCACTGCTGTAAGGCCTCTTCTCACAGGGAGAAGGTTTGAGCATTAATCACCACGCTTGCTTAACGGGTTGGTGATTTCAAACTTATTATTGTGAAATTATAAGTCCAGGTTTCCTCACGATGTTTTCCTTCATCTTTCAGTGGTGTCTAAATAGTCTTAGAAAGTATATATGACTCGGAAAAATCACATTGGTACTTGCCAGGATCGAACCCGCGCTCACATGCATGAGAGGTTCGCCTTAAACCACTAGGCCACCACTGACTTGAGAGTGGATTTACATTTTATTACACACAGTTCTTTTATCAAAGGCTCAGGCCATGAGATTGCGTTACTTTTGTAACGTGATAAGTTAATTTTGTCAGAGTTTTATAAATCATTACCTGACCTAACTGACTGACCTATGATCTATTATACAAGTTCTCTTCTTGGCAACGGTTTGATACACGTTATGCTTTTCAAAGTAAACCACAGATAACAATATTAGTTGTTAGTCTATGACACGTAAAAAAAAAATTACATACATACATATGTATACAGGGTGACTGGTGAATTACTATCAATATTTAAGGAGAATACTCGGTACATGATTCTCATTCGAATTATGTAAAAAAAATAGGCACTTAATTTTTGACCAAATTTCCGTATAAATAAATAAAGTGTGGACGCGTTCCAAGTGTGGACGCGTGCGGCGGCGTGCTGATACAACACCACGCCGCCGGAAGCGTGTGTGTGTGTGTGTGTATACCTAATCTGTAGGGTGTTCACACGATGCGTAATTAATTACATAACTTTTGGTTAACTTTACTCAGAAGTTTATTAATGTTTATGTTATATTAATTTTTATTTTGTCATATATGATCGTCAAATATCACGTCCTCAAGTATCGATAGTAATTCACCAGTCACCCTGTATATGTATGTAAAAAAATTACAAATCGGGTGTAATGTACATTGTAACCTTTGTAGACCTAACAATAAAATCTTTTCCTATGGAAGAACTCATTTATCTTTCAATTCAACTCAAATTCAACTCAAACAACTTTATTCAATACAGAAGCATTACACTTTCTTATTGATGGTCACTTGAGTCACTACCACCGGTTCGGAAAACAAAATACCCTGACCTGAATTCATTGTGTTATTCAATAAAGGTATAATATCTTCTTCTTCTATGTACATATGTAGTACTGTATGTATGTACATGTATGTGTATGTACCTGAGCGTGTTGCATAGCGATGGCTGGCGGCGGTTGTGTACACAGAGCGCGCGCCGCTGCTGCCGCCCGGGCCAGCGCCGCCAGCCCACTTGCGCGTGCGCTCGCCCACGCGGCGCACAGGGAGGTGCAGGCGCCGCACCCGCTGCAGCCGACGCACGCGGCCGCACCCGCCACCCCGCCCGCGCCCGCTGAGAACGACTGCCAGCCAGCGCTCGCCTCCTCTAACGATGATATACCTGAGGGTAGATTGAGTTTTATATATATACTAGCTTTCCGCCCGCAGCTTATACCGAGTCCGGTTATATCCAAGAGAACCTTTGAAAAATTTGGGATAACAACTATTCTATGTTATTTCTCAAGGTCAACTCCATCTCTGTACCAAATTTCATTAAAATCAGTTCAGTGGTTTAGGCGTGAAAGCGTAACAGACAGACAGACAGAGTTCCATTGTTAACGCCCCGTCAACCTCCCTTGTGGGTGGTATTTCGTAAACTCCGTTCTTAGCTGACCTCTACTCGGTGAAAGTAATAATCCTACCAAATTTCAAGTCGCTACGCCTTATGGTTCCAGAGATATCGTGATGAGTGAATATATAGGTGGAAATCTCTTTTATATATATAGAAGATAACGTCATATGAAAGTGGCGCGAAATTCAAAAAAGGAATGTAGAATAGAGAATTGGGTTTTTGAACAAAATGTTTTTTGTGATAAACGGAAAGATCATGTACATATAATATAACAGAACTATTTTTGTTTCTATTTTCGATATAATTAAAAAGTTATATCAATTTAAAAATAAATTATTGAATCCAGTACCGATGACACACCGACAGTTCCCGAGCAAACCCGAGCGCGTGTGACGTCACAATATAATTTTTTTCCTTGTATCACTGACAGAAGCTGTTGACACTGTACCTAGTGACGTCATAAACATGGCGACTATTTGTGGCGCGTTCTTAGTCACGTGGTTATATCATCAATTTGATCAATTTTTAATTGATAATAATAATTATTATATATATGTATTTTAAAGTTTTGAAATAAATAAAAAAAAACTACATATTTTTTTTCAACAACCCAACTCCTCAATGTGATTCTATCCCTAGTCCCTATAGCTCAGTTTTCAAGGTGACCGTACCACGTGACCACGGGACTCTGGTTCGATACAACTCATGTTAATATTCTCATCTTTATTTTAAGTAATGTATTAGTTTCATAGTAATTATCAAATTTACAACTTGTTATATTTTAAATTTTGCCTTGCAATGAATCGTCGAAGCAGTGTTTTCTCCCCCTTTATGTACTTAAAGATGTGCAACTATTGGCGTATATAAATTAGCAATTCATTAATTTACAATACACTGCAACATTCCAATGAAACTAATATATTTCAACACATCTCGTGTGCCCGTGATCAATACTGAAAATTAACCGAAACATCAGTAATATGCAATTTTTAATATAATAAAATATTACTTAGGCAAGCATTACGTAAGCAGATTTATTACAATTATTTACCCCCTCATCCCCCGTGTCAGCAAAAGTAAGCAAAGCTCTTTACCCCTCCCCCCATGCTTACGTTAACATTTTCAATTACTGTATTGTTTTTTTTTCATATAAATGGAGAAAAAAATTACAATTATATTATTTTATGGATCTTCTCGACGTGACGATTAAAAAGTAAATAACTACCGATGACGTAATCATCATCTAGACTCCCCTACCCCCATGTCATCCAAAATAATCAAAGTAAAGACCCCCCGCCCTCCATAGTGCTTAAGTAATACTTGAACGGCCAATTATCCGAAATATATTAGTTTCATTTAAATGAATACTCGTGAAAGTCTTAGATCTCATTCCAGGTCATTTTCATACCTTCATCTTCCAGTAATCTATCAGCTGCTGCTGCTTTGTGTAATGCTGTAAGCCACCTTTGCGCAGCTTCACTTGGCGCGTGTAAAGCTAATTGTTCCAGAAGTTCGCCCGCCAACCGGTGATGGCCGTATCTGAAGATTTACAAGTATTACAGAAGATTAACTAAAACTAAACTATCGTCAATAGAAAGAAATAAATGCTTTCTTGACTACCGCTATATTTACAGTGACGTAGTATTAAATACATATATATACAGGGTGACTGGTGAATTACTATCAATATTTAAGGAGAATACTCGGTACATGATTCTCATTCGAATTATTTAAAAAAAAATAGGTACTTAATTTTTGACCAAAATTCCGTATAAATAAATAAAGTTGGGACACGTTCCAAGTGTTCCAAGAGTGTGTGTGTGTGTGTGTATACCTAATCTGTAGGGTGTTCACACGATGCGTAATAATTTACATAATTTTTGGTTAACTTTGCTTAGAAGTTTATTAATATTTATGTTATATTAATTTTTATTTTGTCATATATGATCGTCAAATATCACGTCCTCCAGTATCGATAGTAATTCACCAGTCACCCTGTATATATATATCTGGGACAAGTTATGTCGAATTACTACAAAAACGATCATTTTGTTAATGTTTGTAAACCAATAGAAATGTTAAAAATAATGCTATGGAATGTTCTAGTAAATGTACAGCTCATAGTTTCGTCTACTCGTCACGAGATGGCGCTGCCGTTAATGTTTAAAATATTCTACAACATTTGCTAAGTCGATCTTTAAACCGACGCGATATGTTAATGAAATTACAAAATAACGTAGCAGTCTTATACAAAAGGATATTAGACGTATAAATTGTTATATTAACTATTGTTATAAAAAAACAAAGTTTTCTATTAAATTGAACTGTTACATTATTATGAGTGTTGATAAAAACACATCGTTTATTATAATTTAGTCTTAACTAAAAAATATATCTTCGTTGCTTCCTGCTATTGAACTCAAGTATTTAACTCGTCTCGTCTAACTCATATTGGGAGTTTGTATACTGAACAGATCTTGATAAAACTTTGTAGTTACATGTTTCAGGTACAACAATCACGGATAGATTTCAATTTATACTGAAACTCCATATATTTAGCTCCGGGTCACGCCATAATAGTTGTATGTAAGTATGAAGTTCTGTGACCTAGACGATAGATAACTTATAATAATTATAAGTCTAGGTTTCCTCACGTTGTTTTCCTTCATCAGTCAGTGATGTCTAAATACTCTTAGAAACTACATATGTCTACATATCACATTGGTCCTTGCCGGGATCGAACCCGGCTCTCATACATGAAGCGGACCTTTAACCACTAGGCCACAACGACTTGATAATGACATATCAAATATTAAGTAATATTAATAGTGTGTAATATTAATTAGTCAGTGGTGGCCTAGTGGTTAGAGGGCCCGCCTCATGCTCGAGGGCCCGGGCAAGTATCAATGTAAAATTTCCGAGTCATATGTACTTTAAGAGTATTTAGACATCACTGATTAATGTATTCCCAAAGCGGGTTGATGTGAAGGCGGCCGGTCGTAAAAACAATTAATCAAAACTATTTACAACATGTAAGGCAGACCCTGGCTATAGCTGGGAAATTGCCAGGTAGAAGAAGATCGAAGATAACAAAGGCGAAGTCAAGGACATCATCCTATCAGAGCCCACTGCTGAGCAAAGGCCTCTTCTCACATGGAGAAAGTTTGAAAATTAATCACCACACTTGCTCAAGACGGGTGGGTGATTTCAAACATAATTTAAAATTATAAGTCCATGTTTCCTCACTATGTTTTCCTTCATCCGTCAGTGGTGTCTAAACACATTTGTACTTGCCAGAATCGAACCCGGCTCTCATACACAAGACTAGTCTTTAACCACTAAGCCACCACAACGACTTGACATATCAAATATTAAGTAATATTATAGATGTACCTGAGCGCGGTCCTAGCGACCCTATACTTGGTCCAGCCGTCCGCGCCCCTCACCGCGTCCCGCAGCCTCTCCTCCCAGCCGCCCCGCAGCCTGCACCTTAACGACGACACCGCCCTCTCTTGCAGCAAGACGGTGCAGATGAGAACTAATGTGGTGCCGTCATACGACGGGTCCTTGCAGTCTTCCCTGATATAACAACATATATATGAGAAACTCAAACTCAAATAACTTTATTCAATACTAGCTGACCCGGCAGACTTCGTACTGCCTCAATCAAGAAATAAATTATGTCTTATTTATTTTTTTGGTGTTTACCTTTAAGCCACAAATCTCCGTGTTCTGAAGTGCGACAAAATGATAGTTAATTGTCAAATCTAATGTCAAAAAAAACTTTAGTACGGGAAATAGAAAAAACCTGTTTTTAGGTTTTCCCGGAAATTAATCAATTTTTTCAGCTTTTAAACCTTCCCTGAACATCCACGAACATTTCAAGACTATGATAAGATAAATCCGTTCAGCCGTTCTCAAGTTTTAGTGAGACCAAGGAACAGCAATTCATTTTTATATATATAGATAGAAGCATTACACTTCCTTATTGATGGTCACTTGAGACACTACCACCGGTTCGGAAAAGAAAATACCCTGACCTGAGAAGAACCGGCGAAAGAAATATATATATATAAAAATCCGCTGAGTCTCATATATTATATAAACAAAATCTAAGATTATCGAGAATTTTATGCTTTTAAATGAAACTAATATTTTTCGGATTATATTATTATGCAAATTTAGTTTTCTAAAAAATTATCTCGTCTGCCCGTGATCACGGTTGCTGTAAAGTAACCGAAACGTCGGGAGTATGTAGTTTTACAATAATGAAGTCACGTAGAATAATCCAAAAAATATTAGTTTCATTTAAACATATATAATATTTAGAGGATGTTAATGAGCATCAAAATTGATGAATGTACAAAAATACTAATCCTCTAAGCCGGTAAGATATGTGTAAGGATGAAGTAATCGTGATTACGTTGATAATTCCTGTATCAAACGTTATTTCTAACAATAACTTCACTATAATATCTGTCATGTGTTTAAACTTGTTTAAAAAAAATCTCGTATAATGAATTTTAAGTGGACTGGCAATGATTTTTCTTTTTGGTTTAGGTAATAGTGACATACACTCGATTTTATATTGTGCTAAGGTCTCAATATTATAAATTCTAATTTAGAGGGTAATTCCAGATCTTCCGAGAAAGTCCCACAAAAGCTGTAGATTTCCTTCTTATATCGAAAAGTGATAAATTTCTTCCTGTATGTGAATTTTTTTAGATAAACTTAATGTATTAATATTAATATTATTTACTAGGATTTAATATTCCATGACCCGTACTAATGTAAGTAAAGTCACTATACTATACACTTCTCACTTAGCTCTCTCTAGTGCGGGTATGAGGTAAGGCGCCGCGGACGCCCCTAGGGCTCCAAGCGCGGCCAGGCCTTCTAGTAGAGCAGCCTGTCGCGGCCCCACGGAGCCCTGAGCCGCCGCCCCCAAAACACCAGCGGTGCGACTGGCGTATAGATGGGGGGCAGAGGAACTTAATTGTACCTTGAAATAAACATTCATGGGATTAATATAGTTATAAATAATAATAAATAAAATAAAAATTCTTAATAAATTTGTACTTAAATATAAAGTTATTGAACTCTCCTTTTAAGCATATGAAAAGCCAAGTATACAAGATATTTAAGGAATGTTATTAATTTATTATATAGTAAACCTCTTGATAGAGAATTGTTTTAATTATAATAGCATTATGAACGATAATTACTGTCGTAATAATTAATTTAAAGCAGACTCAAGAAGAAAGGCAGCTTTAAATCTTAATTTTCAGTCCAAGCCACTTGTTACGGTTGGTCACAGCAATTGCTATATTAATGAGATCTAAGACTTTCGCGAGTATTCATTTAAATAAAACTAATATTTTTCGGATATATTACATACTCTCGACGTTTCAGTTACTTTTCAGCAACCGTGATCATTAAGACGACATATGAAATGTAGTTTTTTACAAAAAAGCACACGTATATCCGAAAAATGTTAGTTTCATTTAAATTGCGATTTCTAAGAATTCCAATGTTTATATACCAGACATCTAAGCGCTATCCTTAAAGGCCGTATGTTATTCTGTCCGTTGTCCATGCCGGTTGCTATGACCAGCGACTCTAAAGCCAGCATCAATTCTGAGCCTTCGACCGGGAGATTTTCTTCGTAGCTGTAAAAATATAAGTAAATATTAGTTATAGTACATGAGATTACTATAGGTATGGTTATTGCAGCTCGAAAATGGGCTGGCTCGACCGGGGAAGTACCACCCTCTCACAGAAGATCGGTGTGAAGTATTTATTTATTTAACTCTTTTTTGTACACCACAATTAAAATACAGACAATTACAAAAAAATAGAAACTAAAAACTAACGATGAAACAAAAGACGGCCTTATGGCTTATTAGCCATTTCTTCCAGACTACCTAGTATTTAATAGCTGCGTTTCGTCCGATGAGTGAGAGAGTTGATTGCTCTTTCCCTTTCACACTTTTCCCTAACCAAGAGTGGAAACACATCCGCAAAATATATTGCGGATGTCCACGAACGACGGTATTACCTCAATCAAGTAGACTTTATATTCCGTTGCTTCCTTTCGCATAAATAAATTATATATAGGCAAGAAATTGCTTCATAGATAACACAGCACAACAAAATCAAACTTTTTTTTTGTTGCATGAAGTTTTTCTACTGTTGTTTACTAATTTGGGTGCGCTAATTTTAAATCTGACCTCAGATTTTTTGTAGCAGCTCTAGTTAGTCAGATACAGGTCCGTCTTGAATTTACATAAGTTGTCAATAGTTTCTACCAATAGCGGTGTAACTTAACTAGTCCCTTTATAAATTTCAGTATGTCTTTCTTAAGAAGGACGTGTTTAAATAATCCTGAGTGTTTTTGTGCTATTTGCGGGTAATATATGTTCCAAAAATGTCGTTTAAGTGTGTTAGACTTCGTAAAAAAGGCACACTTCGACTACTTTGGGTTTCCGTTGCCATCAAACGCTAAACCTTTGACACCAATTTTGGTGTGTAAAAGTTGTATTGAATCTTTGAGATTATAGGCAAACAAAAAAAGACAAAATTTTAAGTACGAATCTCCCATGATATGGCGTGAACCACCCAAACATCATAACGACTTTTATTTTTGTGTAACGAAAATCATAGAAATAAACCATAAAAATTGCTCTAAGTGGATATATTCAAACTAAAAATCTGTCGTAAGACCAGTCTTGAGTATTAGTGACACATCAACACCACAGCAGCCTTGTAGATCTTCGGAAATCCAGACCAGTGCAGCGGACAAACCGAAACGACGACAGTGGTAGAGACAATAGTCCCCGATTACAAAATCAAGATGATCTAAGTGACTTGATCAGGGACCTTGGCCTGTCTAAAAATTGATAGATGATAAAAATGTCATCAACCATATGACAGCTATTGAGAAATGTGCATGGGAAGAGTTTGTTTGAGTAGTAAGAAATTTTTTGTGAATACTAAGTCTGACGGCTACATTCAGCACGTTGAACAGTTGCTGATACACTTCCAGCGGCTTGGATGCAACATAAGTATTAAGCTTCACTACCTCCACAGCCATTTAGACTATTTTCCTGAAAATCTCGGTGACCTAAGCGAGGAACAAGGAGAGCGCTTTCAACAGGATATTCGCGCTATGGAAGACAGGTATCAGGGGTACTGGAAGGAATATATGATGGCTGGTTATTGTTGGAGCATTCAAAATAGTACTCATGATACATCTTACTCTAGAAAATCATCAAAAAGGAAATTTCATTCAGAATAAATATATTTAATAATTTTTTTAAACTTAAATTTTCTGCATTTTTAATGAAAAACCCTGTCTCTTCATAACTCCAAAACTAGAGCTGCTACATCAAAACGGCATATATTTTTGAAATAAGCGTGGAAAAACCATTCAGATTCATGTAAAAAATCTCATACAACAGACATGCTGTTTTCCAGTGTAATTAATATACAGACCAGTGAGTTACGATTCTTGTAAGCACATCAGCAGCGATTGCAGCCCGCTGCATGTTGACGCTAAGCGCTGCAGCGCTGCAATGGCGCCGAAGAGATGCTTCCGGGCCGGCCGCCGCGCACACCGCCGGGCAACGGACCAGGATCTACACAAATATTACGAGGAATAGTACCGCTGACGGTTTTTTGTGCGGTGTAAAGTTTTTGGCCATTGTTATGACGGATTCTGACATACAAAATCAAATGATAAGCGTGATTAACTAAGTGATTTAGCGTATTTTAAAAGGAACAATTTAATTTGCTCTCATATATGTATAATTTAATCAAAATCTAAAATCCAGAAAATATAATATCACATTTGGTATATTATCAAATTTTATGAAAATGTCATAATTCTAACCCTGTAAATCATCAGATAATTTAACCTTATCTACAAATATTCATCAAAACCAAAAACTTCCAAGTTTCTCCCACATAAATTACAGGTGTATGGGATACGAAAATTAATGAGATCAAAGATTTTCGCGAGTATTCATTTAGATGAAACTAAAATTTTTCGATTATACTATGGGACTTTATTTTCGTAAAAAATTACATACTGCCAACGTTTCGACTACTTTTCAGTAACCGTGATCACAAAGAGGAGATGTTTAGTTAGTATGTACATAGTTTTTTACGAAAATAAAATCTTATAGTATAATCCGAAAAATATTAGTTTCATTTAAACGGAAGCTATTTTTTTTTTTTTTTTATGTTAAAGGTGGCAAACGAGCAGACGGCCCACTTGATGGAAAGTGGTTACCGTCGCCCATGGACATCCACAACATTTTGTTGCGGATGCGTTGCCAACCTTGTTTTTTGGCGATAGGGAGGGGAGGGAATAAGGAAATGAAGGGAAAGGGTAGGAATAGGGAAAGGGCAACCGGCTCTCTCACTCATCAGACGAAACGCAGCCGGTAAAGGCTACTTCACGCCGATCTTCTGTGAGAGGGTGGTACTTCCCCGGTCGAGCCAGCCCATGTTCGAGCTGCAGTAACTCACCACAGCTAGGCTCTACCACCTTTAAAATGATTTTATTTTCCACCTTTTATTTTCCAGAATATGAAAAGTAAAAGTATATACCCAAAGATAGTTGATATCAGGCAGGCGGTCGTAAAAACGATTAGCCAAAACTATTAACATGTAAGGCAGATTCTGGCTAAAGCTGGAAAATTGCCAGGTAGAAGAAGAAGTATAATGATCAAAGTTCATTCACCTGCATGACTTGTAAGCATAGCATGCTGTGTTCATCATCTTGCATCTCTGAAGCAGCGTGTACTAAATCTTGAATGGAGTCATTCGGCCATAATGCAGCATGTTCGGCCAATTTACGTAAACCCAAAAGCGCAGCGCGACGAACAGCTGATCGAGCGTCGTTAACAGCTAGTTTAAGCAGAAGTTCCACCTGTATACAGTTAATATTGTTATAGTTAATGGAGATCTAAGATTCTCGCGGGTCTTTTCGGATGTACTACATACGCGATTTTATTTTTGATAAAAAACTACATACTCCCGACATCTCGTCTGTCCGTTAAATTGAATTAAGAATTAAATTTCCTATTTTTTTTATTCAACCCATAAAATTGTGAATATTTGTGTAAATGTCATGTTTAGTGCCCGTGCGAAGCTATATGTATAATAACATCGATTATAAAGTTCACAGTTTTTCAGTAATGTATTTAACATTAGCATTGCACCCGTGCGAAGACGGGGCAAAAATAGCTAGTCAAAAATAAAATCGCGTAGTACATACAAAAAATATTAGTTTCATTTAATTGTTATATGTCATTTCAATAGAATTTAGCAATCTTGTAAATATGATCAGCTGATATTAACAGAGACTTGTTATTACACTAGTGATGTGAGTATTCTTCAAGATACTTTAATCTTAATTTTTATGTTGAAATATTAATATAAAAAATACTTAAATTTGTTCATATTTTGTTAAGTAAGAAAAACAATAAACCAAGATAAACCCAGGCCTACTCTTTTATCTTTCGTAAATGGCTGGAAAAAGAGTGAAGTATTGAGGAACAGGAAAAAGTCGAAGGTGTTATTCATTACAGAAGATTACTCTAAAGAAACTCTGGAAAAAAGGAAGGCACTACTACCAAAACTAATTGAAGAGAGGAATAAAGGAAATATCGCTTACTTAAAGTACGACAAACTGATAATCAAAGAAAATAAGAATATTAACGAGAGAAGAAAAAGGGAACCATCAGCTTCCCCATACGCCAACCCTCAACCAAAAAAACAACAAACGAAAAGCAGAACCAATGCCTTCGATTTGATGAGAAGTACCTCGAGTTCTCTAACAATACCAGGTAATGAACATTAGCAATTACTTATCGGCGAACGGAAACAGAAATCAATGATTAATAAATTAAAAAATATAACAACAAAAAACACTCCCCCAAGCCGACTGGTCCTCGAGGGGGAAAAAGACCAAGACCCTCTAAATAAAAACAAACAAACATCAGATATACATATAATAACTTTCAATACACGATCATTAAGGACACCGGAGAGACTCCAAGAGCTTGAAATGGCTTTATCGAAATTAAAATGGGACATAATAGGAATAAGCGAAATGAGAAGACTTGGAGAAACGATATATGACTACGGGGACTACATTCTACACCATATTGGCGAGACACCAGGACAATATGGAGTGGGTTTCCTAATTAAAAAAGAATTAGCGGACAAGATTATTGAAATTAAAGGAGTCACGGAAAGAATAACTATCCTTAACATAATACTACTTCAACCTGTACGTGAACGATTTGACCGGGGAGCTCAGCAGTGCCAGGGTCGGCTGTTACGTGGATAATGTTTGTGTAAATAATATAAGTTACGCTGATGACATGGTACTGCTGAGCGCATCGATTTGCGGTCTTAGGAAGCTGATGGCCATATGTGAGGCATATGTAGAAAAACATGGATTGATATACAATGTCAAAAAGAGTGTGATGATGATCTTTGAGGCCGAAGGTAAAATAGAGAGAACAATACCACCCATTGTGCTCAATGGCACTAGTCTGGTAAGGGTATATAAATTCAAATATTTAGGACACATCTTGACACCCGACCTCAAGGATGACACTGACATCGAGAGGGAACGGAGGGCGTTGTCTGTACGGGCGAATATGTTGGCCCGCAGATTTGTACGTTGTTCGAGCGAAGTTAAGCTTACACTGTTTAGAGCCTATTGTACCACCTTCTAAACGTGCAATCTGTAAGCCAAATACTCTCAAAAGTCGTATAACGCACTCCGGGTCCAATATAACAATGCCTTTAGAGTGCTGATGGGATTGCCCCGCCATTGTAGTGCATCAGGGATGTTCGCGGCAGCGAGGGTCGATTGCTTTTATGCCATTATACGCAAAAGATGCGGATCCTTGGTGTACAGATTGCGGGATAGTCCCAACAGCATCATGAAGGCAATTGCTAGCAGGTTAGACTGTAAGTATGTTAGTCATTGCTGTGCTATCTCGAGCGGATTAGTTCAGCAATTACTACCATGATTACAAGTTTAGTGATAGTTTTTTATTTTTATTTTATTTTTATTTTTGTTTAACTAATTTATTATACTAACATAGGAGATAAGAAATATGTATTACTAACAATAATATGAGTCATAGTCACTTGAAATAAAAAAGTTATTATTATTATTATTAATACTGCCTCTAAACAAAGAAGAAAAATGGTCCATTATCCAAGTATAATCGCCAACGGAATCAAGTAACAAAAATGATATAACAGAAATAGAGAAATTCTACAGAGATTTACAAGAAACGATACTAAATGCACACAAACACATTATAGTAATGGGAGATTTTAATGGTCAGATAGGAATTTACGGTAACCAAGGAGAAAAACATACAATTGGCAAACATGGATATGGTAAAAGAAGTAAAAACGGTGCCAGACTTGTTTCGTTTGCTTTACAAAATAAACTAAGTATTCTCAATAGCTTCTTTAAGAAAAAGGAATCAAAGAAATGGACGTGGATTTCTCCCAACGGTGTCCACATAAATGAAATAGATTTTATCATGTCCAATAACATTAAATTTTTTAAAAATGTCGCTGTAATACAGAATTTAAACTTCAATTCAGATCACAGAATGGTTCGTGCTACATTGACAGGCAAGCCTATACAAAAGAACAGGAGATGGCAAAACAATAGCTCAGCCGTGATCCGTACTGGTAATAGCATGCTTATAAATAACCTAAAAGCGCTGGAAGGAATGTTCAAAGAAGAATCCACACCTATAGAAGAAAAATATGCAAGGTTTCTAAACGCAATTAAACCAGAAACTAGAAAAGTAAATAAAAGGAAATAGTATCTAAAGAAACTCAACAGTTACTTGAAGAAAGGAGAAAGCTTTTACAATCAAAGGAAAGTAATAGGGAAAACAGAAACAAGATAACAGAAGTCAGTAAAAAAATAAATGAAAGCATTAGAAAAGATAGGAAAATTAAGAGGCAGGAAACATTAGAAAAACATATAAGAAAAACGGGTGGAGTAAAAAAGGCTATCAAAGAATTAAATGGTAAAAAAGAATGGATGCTAACAGTAAAAACTAAGAACACACACACAAGGAAAAGACCTGAGATAATTAAGGTGGCTACAGACTATTACAGAGAACTATAAAAGCAAGAATCCAAGAATAACCGCAGAAGGACACTACCCATTGAACTCTGAGCCAATACCAAAAATATTGAGGGAAGAAACTGCTAAAGCCATTAATTCACAAAAAAGGGACAAAACACCCGGTCCTGATAAAATAACCAACGAGCTACTCAAAAGCACCTTACCAGTAATTGCTCCTATATTAACAGATTTATATAATGAAATTATAGAAACGGAAATCATCCCACAAGACTGGACAAAATCAACAATAATTTTGTTACACAAGAAAGGAGATAAAGGGGAAATCGGAAACTATCGTCCAATCAGTTTAATGTCCAATATTTATAAGGTCTTTTCAAAAATAATTTTATCTAGAATCACCAAAGAACTCGACGCAAACCAGCCAAAGGAACAAGCAGGTTTCCGAAGTAAATTTTCAACCGTAGACCACATTCACGTTCTGAGACAAATTATACAGAAATATAATGAATATAATAAAGTTTACTTTTTGGGATTCGTAGACTATAACAAAGCATTTGACTCTCTGGAACATGCGTATATATGGGAAGCTTTGCGAACTCAAAATATACAGGAAAAATACATAAGAATTTTAAACAATATATACACCAGAAGTACAGCACAAGTCAGATTGGAAAAACCAGGAGAGGAATTCCGCATAGAGCGAGGCGTTCGTCAAGGGGACCCTGTGTCACCTAAACTATTTTCAGCAGTCCTAGAAATGATATTTAGGAACCTAAAATGGAACGAATATGGACTAAATATATATGGCGAAAATTTAAGCTATCTACGTTTTGCAGACGATCTTATAGTGTTTTCCGAATGTCCTAAAACATTACAACATATGCTACAACAGCTATCAGATCAGAGTAGAGAAGCAGGACTAACAATGAACCTCACGAAAACAAAAGTTATGACTAACTCTCTGAAGACACATAAGATTACAGTAAACATGCAAGAAATAGAATACGTAGATGGATATATATACTTAGGACAATTAATATCACCTACAAAAACCATGCAAAAGGAAATAGATAGGAGGATAGCCAATACTTGGAAGAGATACTGGTCACTAAGTGAAGTTATGAATGATAGGAACATGCCAATTAAAGAAAAAAGAAAAGTATACAATATGTGCATTCTACCATGTTTAATGTATGGCTGCCAAACTTGGGCATTAACAGAAAAATTAGAACAAAAAATAAACGTCTGCCAAAATAGTATAGAGAGGAGTGTTATTGGAATCAAGAAGAAAGATAAAGTAAGACTAACAGAAATAAAAAAGAAAACACAATTTACTCAAGCACGTTCATTATATCGAACACAGAAATGGAGATGGACAGGGCACATGTTAAGGGAACATCAAGAGAAATGGACGAAAATTGTAACAGAGTGGTACCCGAGAGATGGAAAAAGAAATAAGGGACGACCAGCTAAAAGATGGGAGGACGACTTTAAAAAAGTGGCCGGTCCATTATGGATCCGGGTAGCTAAGGATAGAGAAAAGTGGAAGTTTTTAGAGGAGGCCTATGTCGAAAGACAAGCTGTTGTTAAAACGAACGTCGATTAAGGCATTTTATTATTAGTAATTTAAGATTAGATTAAGAAATAAGATAATATTATATAATGTAGATATTTAGTAGAAGTAGTTTTGCAATACATACAGCAATAAAGGCTAATTTTATTTTATTTATTTATTTTAGTGACCTTTTTCAAATCAGTTTCGTTTAAATATGAAATAATATCTCCTATCATGATTTTTCAGTGTTAAATTAAATACCAGTTCTTAGTACAGACATCAATACAGATTGATTAGTGTAAACTATACTTCTGTAATTAGTATAATTATGCAAACCAGTGGTAAGAGAGCTAGTAAGTAGGATATTTTGAGAATTTAGATGTGAAGCTACATATTGTATTAACAAAATACATATTTAAAAAAATATAATAAAAATATATTGTTTATGTAAAGTTATTTCTATATCTAGATATAGAAATAACTTTACATAAACAATATATGTATTTTTATTTTATTAAATATATCTTACTAAGAATCCTATTTATTTTTTTTATCTATTTAATTATTAACCGATTTCTAGAAATCAGTCTATTAAAGGGTAGTAACTAAAAAAATAAATAGGATTCTTAGTAAAATATGTTTTAGATATGTATCATTAGATATATTTACCTGATCGGGAACATGTACTACAGTATCGGCAGCGATGGCAGTAAGAGCTGTGATTGCAGCTCGGACTGAGCTTGATGAAGGGAATCTCTCCAACAACGACCTGAGTAGCTTTAGAACACCTTGAGCACGAACCGCTGTACACAAGTTAATATATTATGTATTAGCTATACTTGCTTGGTAAAATAATAATATAATGTCAAGTGTAATGTAGGTAGAATATTATATTAGTAGCTGTCATTCAGTTTGCTACTTAGTACAATATATATATGATGAATTTAATATAGTTTTATTGAATAGTATATTATGTAACATTTATTTCATTTATATAATGTTATATATGGAATTTTAAGCATATATGTATAATCTAATTATATAAATTTGTGAATTACAAATTATACATAATTACATGAATATGATTCATGTAATTATGTATAATTTATCCAAATGGATAATAAGCAACATATAAAAACTGTATAATGACTTGAAAACAGCTTTTAAGTACCAAAACTTCAGACATGTATGTAAATATGTTAGTGTTCAATGTAGCCATATAGAAAGATAATTTAAAAAGATTTTTCAATGTATTTATTCTATTATTTGTGGTGTATTACCTCCACCATGTACTGTTCGTAGAGCCCTGACGAGTTTGGCCCTACGTTCAACCCCAGTACTCTCACACTCGACCATATCCGACAACTTATTACACATGGCCACTGCAAATGAGCTGTAATAAAAAAAAAAAAAATTTAATCATCATCATCAGCCTATCAGAGCCTACTACTGAGCAAAAGGCCTCTCTCACATGGGGAAGATTTGAGCATTAATCACTACGCTTGCTCAAGACAGGTTGGTGATTTCAAACTAATAATTTGATTTTACAAGTCCAAGTTTCCTCAAGATGTTATCCTTCACAGTCTGTCAATGGTGTCTAATACTCTCAGAAAGTACATATGACTCGAAAAAATCACATTAGTACTTGACAGGTTTTGGGCTTTCGTGCATGAGAGGCTGGCCTTTACCTCTAAATCACCACAAATTTTAATATGAATTCTATAAAAATATATTGCCTTTTTTTAAAATAATTATTACAGCATGGCATAAAAAAACTGTGATGTGTACAATTATCTTTTAACCCAATGTTTAATAATGGGAACAGTTTATTTAATCTCGTAATTTAGTGTTTATCAATTTAATGACTGACTTTAATTGTTTAAATGAACTTACTTAGAATGAGCAGCAAATCTGGTAGTAGCATAAATAGCAGCATCAACTTCTACATTGTCATGGCTTTCCAGACCTCTGCGAATTGCGTGATGGACGTTCTGTCGCTCAGGAATGATTCCCGCCACAGCACCCAGAGTTCTCAGCGCCAACGCTCGCGCCACGGGGTCATTTGAATGCAACACGCTGTAAACCCGCCTCAAAAACTCATCCACGTTCAATATCTTATCCAAATGCTTCTCACTTTGCTGACACACGCGTAAAACCCACAGCCGTAAAAAGTTGTTACCCATACGAAACACATCGGCCAATTTTAGAAATGACGAATTAATTAATATAGGAAACGGATATTTTTCAAATAAACGAGGAAAACGGACGATAGCTTCGCATTGTTCTCCGACTTTACCAGACCTTAGACCTGTAAATACAATTAATTATGTACATTTTATCAATATGCTAAACAACTGAGGTTAACTTTCAATACCTTTATCCAACTCAGTTAAAGCAGAATTCGCGTCCTGCTCAGGTTCCCCTGAATTGTCGCTGAATGAGTTTAATCTCACTCCGATCATTTTAAACAGTTAGTTTCAATTTTTATTACAAACTATCGTTTACTTGTTTGATGACAACTTTCAGTACAAATTCGTTTTCTGTCAGACGGCTTTTGACAGTTGACAGAACTATAGAACGCGAGAAAAGATTTCATTCAAGTTATACTTTTTTTAGATTTAACTTTATATTGTAGTTTATTTTTTTGTAATTGGTATGTGACATAGATGTCAGGAAATGAAAGATGTTAGGAAATTTACAGAAAATTTCGCTACCTAAAACTAGAGTTTTAGGTAGCGAAATTATTCCGTGTATATGACAAGTGCTAAAGAGTGGTACTATAAGAGTATTAAAATATGGAAAACTCGTTAAAGTTTCTCTTTAAATATAAAATTTTTAATATTTGTTGCATAGTCTGTAATATGCGGTTTAAAAGCAATTTTATTACGTGTTTATATAAAATTGATTCAGAATTTCAAAGTAAAATCAGAACATGGAAGTAATATATAGGGTATACTAAGATTGGTTTACTCAAAATTTAATGAATATACAGCTAGGTTAGTGTAAAGTAAAATAAAGTTAGAGACCACATTTAGACTAGTGCCGATAGCTTTTAAAACATAATTAAATTATAGTAGAATGAAACTCAGTAGAAAAGGAGGGGAACATTATAAAAATTAAAGGAAAAATAATTTACGGGCGATCTGAGTTCGGGAAGGGCATGGGGATGGGTATTTAAGGGTAAAAAATGGGTTTTCCCGATTTCCTGCAAAACTGAAAATCCTACGGAAAAATGTTATATGGCAAAGTTGTAGGTAGTAAAAAGACCTAAAACTTTGATACTAACATTTTTTCACATAACCCCAAAATTTATGTGAAAAATTCGAAAAACCAACTTTTTCGTTTTTTATTTTTATCCTTTACAAAAAACAATATTTTGTCACGAAATTAGATGAAAACTTTCCTTTTGATGTTACAAATACACTGTAATTTAAATGAAACTAATATTTTCGGATTTTACTTCGCGTTTTATTTTAGAAACTACATACTCCCGACGTTTCGGCTACTTTTCAGCAACCGTGATCACGGGCAGACGAGATGTGAGTGTCTGTCAGTTGGTCTGGTCATTTTATCTCCTACCGCCATCGATTTCTTAATTGTCTTGCGTACCGCTCTGGATGCCGGCAAAATGCGCTCACGGTGTCTCGAGGTCCTGCGGAGTGCGGTGTGGTCACGGACATGGGATTTTATATTTTTAAGAAGAGGATCCCAGGTGTTTGATAGGTTCCAGCCATCTTCTCTATTGAAATTGGGGTGTTTTTTAATTTCAATAGCCTCGCGGATTAACCTTGGTATATATCTGTCTTCACGAGCGAGGATATGTGGTTGATCAAATCTAATGTAATGGCCTGGTTTGTCCAATGCATGTTCGCACACTGCTGACTTCGACGCGCGCCTATTCCTGACGTCTGAAATATGTTCCTTAACCCTTGTACCGATGCTTCTCTTTGTCTGTCCGATGTATGACAAGCCACAGTCACAATCAAGTTTATATACACCCGCTTGTTGTAAAGGAATGTTACTCTTGATTAAAATAAAACGCGAAGTAAAATCCGAAAATATTAGTTTCATTTAAATGTGTACTCGCGAAAATCTTAGATCTCATTACACTGTAATTTATTTGATTAGAAATATTTATTTTTTTAGCTTATTTTGAATAAATATCGAAAAATCAGTCTCATTTTCAATAGAAAAATCACCCGTCAAAATATCAGCTATTTCCAAAAATTTGGTATGATTTCAATTTGTTGAAATCTCTATTTTCCGATGGTGAAGAAAAAAATATAAGTTTCTTACTTACAGTACCATTTTTGGATAAAATAATCATGTCCCTTTAAAGGATGTGAAGTTGTGTACTTTGGAAGTTCTCCAGACAGTCCCTCTTTTAGGAAATTTACAGAAAATTTATATGAAGCTGCTAAAACTATTAAAAATAAATTAAAAGACCAAACGACATCGAGTGTCATTTCATTAAAAGGGACGTGATTATTTTATCCAAAAATGGCACTGCAAGTAAGAAACTTATATTTTTTTAGTTGAACATCGGAAAATAGAGATTTCAACGAACAGAATACACACCAAATTTTTGAAAAACGCTGATATTTTGACAGGTGATTTTTCGATTGAAAAAGAGGCTGATTTTTCGATATTTATTCAAAATAAGCTAAAAAAATAAATATTTTTAATCAAATAAATTACAGTGTATTTGGGATACCAAAAGAAAAGTTTTCACCAAATTTCATGACAAATTATTGTTTTTTGTAAGAGATAAAAATAAAAAACCAAAAACTTGGTTTTTCGAATTTTTCACATAAATTTTGGGGTTATATGAAAAAAATGTAAGTATAGAAGTTTTAGGTCTTTTTATTACCTACAACTTTGCCATATAATTTTTTTCCGTAGGACTTTTAGTTTTGCCGGAAATCGAGAAAACCCATTTTTTACCCTTAAATACCCACCCACATACCCTTCCCGACCTCAGATCGCCCGTAAATTATTTTTCCTTTAATTTTTATAATATTCACCTCCTTTTCTAATAAGTTTCATTCTACTATAATTTAATTAAGTTTTAAAAGCTATTGGCACTGGTCTATTATGTAAAGTTTCTCTTTAAATATGAAATTTTAATATTTGTTCCATAGTTTGTTATATGCGGTTTAAAAGCAATTTTATTACGTGTTTATATAAAATTGAGTCAGAATTTCAAAGTAAAACAGAACATGGAAGTAATATATAGGGTATACTAAGATTGGTTTACTCAAAATTTAACGAAAATACAGCTAGGTTAATGTAAAGTAAAATAAAGTAAAGACAAAAGCATAGATGTGTTTAGAGTTATGTAGCTGTATAAGAAATGAAATATTGAGGACAAGATACAATATCAGTAGTATAATAAAATAAAACAAGACGAAGTAATAGTTGTAGAGGGAAATACTTACAATAATATAGTCATTACTATCGGTTGATGTTCGTGATTTAAGAATATAAGAATAATAGCAAGACGCCTGTGAAAAATAACACGTAATTTTTAACTTCCTCCAATTGGACTATTGTCCGAAAGATGTAATATTAAAATCTTGTAGTTTCCTTACAAAGGGAGACATGTGTTCAGAGGTAACTGGAGTTGTTTGAAGATATGTAGGTCGAATTAAAAATCCTAATCAGGTCTACAACGATATCACGGCCAGTTTCCATGAGGCGGGTCGCTTGTATAAAGCGTTGAATTTAAGATTATACTATTATCAGTTATTAATGGATAGAATTCAGTGGTGGCCTAGTGGTTAAAAGGCCCGCCTCTAATTCATGAGGGCGCGGGTTCGATCCTGGACTTGGCAAGTAATAATGTAATTTTTCCGAGTTAAATGTACATTCTAAGAGTATTTAGACATCACTGATTAATGCATTCCAAAGAGGGTTGATGTCAGACAGGCGGCCGGTCGTAAAAACAATTAGCCAAAACTATTCACAACATGTAAGGCCGACCCTGGCTAAAGCTGGAAAATTACCAGGTAGAAGAAAAAGAAGAAGAAGAAGTTATTAATGGATACTGAGAGAGTTGATTTACATATAAGGAAAATCATGATCAAACTTTCAAGAATACGAAAAAAGAAATGAGATTGCTCATGTACCTATAGATTTATAGGATATTTGATGAAAATGAAAGATCAGAAAAATAGATGGATGAATATTTTTATTATTTGTACTATGGCTTCTAAATTCACACTGAATTTGTGGAATATTTTGCCAATATCAACGTTTTTATTTCTTGAATTAATTATAGGATGAATATTTAAAAAAATCATACGTATACGTCATAATCATGACATATTATGTCAAAATTCAACTGATTATAATAATTGACAGTTACGTCCAGTAACTTTAAAACTTTTGATTTAATGAAAAATAATTAACAAATGTACTGTAATACGTTTCTAGCTTACCTAATAGTTAGTAGTTTGGTGACTAAACACCTGATATTAAACCTCAGTAGTGAATTAGAGTTAAATCCAGTCGGTACGTTGTTTAGTTACACCCAGCTCGGCTCTCAAAGGCTCATAATTACAACGTCGCCGGTAACCAGAGCCGTGTATGCGACCATTAGCTGAATTAACGGAAACAAAGCCAGTATTATGTACTCTTTTATTATATATTACTTATTTATTTACATATAATAGTGTTTCACATGTAGCTTTGAATTTATATTTTATCTTTTGCTTATTCTAAGCGGTTTATAAATATCAATATTTATTCTATGTATGTATATGATTGTTCGTATATTTCCTAGAAATAATTATGAGATATGTCGCTATTATTTTCAAATTTGCGTGTATTATGTATTTACTGTAATGTTTGAACAATACATAAACTATGTTAGATTTCTGAACTTTTGTTACGAACAATCGTTATATAGTGATTTGAATCGTAATTTCTTTCCGTTTGTGTTTTAGTTACTTTAAATTATTATTTCTCTTAACTAATTAGATATTAAGAAACTTATAAAGATTATTTGTTTCACTCAATGTTTAATTAGTTAAATATATTCTACAATACATTGTACGATCGTCCTAATACCTTCGACTATTCGTCATAATCTGTCATTAGGGTCATTTTCTTTTGGTATCGTGAGAATGAAATAAAAAGAAACAGAAGTAAAAACCTCGTTCATTGTGCAAGATAACGATCATAATGAATATCGTGTCATTAATCTTAATATTTAAAGTTTATAATTCCTTCCGGATTCCTACAAAAGATGTTTTGACGTATTTTAAAGTTATGAATAAGCTAGTAACATATCCCGGATACACTCCGGGATTTGAACTAAGTAGGATTAGATATAACCCAGTTTCCAACAAAGGAACTTTCTCGGAATGTATTCTTGGTGGGAACTTCGTCTTTATTGGGTGTAAATAAGGTTGTGAATCGCGTATTTTTTGTGACTATTGTGTGCAGAAGCTTCTGGTTT